CAGAATTCGCTTGTTCGTTTCGAGGAGCGAACAAGATTATGATGTAAGGATAGACGTGTAAAATAATTTATTTTCAGCTCGTTCTATAGAAAAGTATCTAATAGAATGCTAGTACAAAATACCTATTACAGCTAGCACTATATTATTATATGTAGTTCAAACGTCATGGTTCATTCGCGGCGGAACGCCTACACAATTTACAAGTTTCAATAACAATGGTTTCTGAATTTATGTTCTAGCATTAGTAATAGCAATACTTTTTACATTTTAATACATTCTTGTTTTTACTTTTGTATTGTAAAAAGACTCGTGATAAAGAAGTTTCAAATATTGATTGAAGTAAAGTATATACTAAATTGTAATAGAATTACATGGTGCAATTATGTATATACTTACATGTTATAGGAATAAAATAGGGAAGGTACATTAATTACGCGAGGTTGCTTTTTTCTAATTTTGTTTCACCTCCGGTTACGTGTATTTATTTTCAATGGATGATAATGGAGTGGTAACCCCGCTTGCGCTAACAATATACGGTGGCGGGGTACCAGTGAGGGATGATAAGTGAGAATGAAAAATCAGGTCAGTGAGCCCACCGTGATGAGGACACCTGGAATTCAGCACGATTGTTTCCTTTCCATAAAATTTCCTTCCACATGGAGGTCAACCTAATATATTGCTAGCAATGGGACTGATAGTCCGCATTACTAGCAATCCCTTTCCCCCCTGGTTACGTGTATTGACGCAATGAAATCTGCTCGTGAGGTTCTAAATACTTAATTGAATTTATTTAGGTAATAGATATGCTCTTGTATTCCTTCATTCCATTAAATACCTTTAATATCGTCAAAGTCCAATCATGTAAATATTTACCTACAAGAATAATAAAACGATTACGAGAAATTTTTACTGGCCTAATCCTACCCCATTTCCGGCCTATAAATGATAATTTGTCGGATCTTTTCCTCATTTAAAAGTCGCGTAATTTTTGGACCCTTCCATATATATATACGTGTTTGTGTGAGCACAATAAAAGCAAATAAATACCAAGTAGATCTGTGTAGAGGACTGCAACATAAAACTAGGTATATATGCAATTATTTATATCTAAGTAGGTACATAAATAAAAATGTATAATATATGGTGCTGCAATTTATATAAAATGTAAAAAGTACCTAATACTTAACAGATGCCTCGATAAATTTTGAAGTAAGTATATTTGCATTATGAGTTAGAATTGCGATTAACTTGGGAATAAATAAATACTTTAAGATAATTAAGTATACTTGTAATATTGTAAAATAGTAGGGTCAGTAGATACATATTTTCTTTTATTTACTAAGGAGTGCTCTGTGTTGTATAATTTTCTAATTATTTGGGTATCTTATAACAAATAGTAAACCGGAATAAAAAAAAAAACATTCATGGTCACATACAGACACAAAATAACAATAGAATTATAAGATAGATGATGGTTTCTAACTTAGTGCCTGACCAAAAATAGGTTTACAACCTATATTCGTCTTTTGTTCTAGTTTTGGTTGATTTTTTTCAACCGACTACAAAAAGAAGATTCTCAATTCGGTTATACTTTTTATGTTTGTTACGAGATAACAAAAAAAAAAAAATACAAGTGAAATGGAAAAGACTTCTTTATTTTTAAGGACAAACAGATTGGTCTCATAGAAATTTTATATTTTTAATATACCGAAATTGAGACTCAATCGAAGTTCCAGAAATCTATCTGAAACTGGCGGTAACAGAAAGTTTAGTCGGACACTATTCTAACATCTATCTACATAATAAATATACCTGTAATTTTGGCTTACTTATGGGTAAAAAAGTAATGACAATACGTCGTTCGTTATGATTAATCACCCAGTGACTAACTGTGATGTAAATGATTAAGTAGGTCAATTCAAACCTTTTCCAATTTTACAACCGGAGGTATTTAGAATGGGTATTAATATTCAAATTGTTGAATTGGAGATACTTGTAAACGTAGATCTCTAATAGAATCTTAGATAGGGACGACGATTATTAAAAATACATACTTATAGTTTTTTCATGTTCGGGCATAAAAATAAAATAAGTGAGCTTATCCAGCATTACAGGAGGACTACTACTTACTGTTAAAAAGAGCTTACCTACTGTTCCATTGACGCAATTTTATAAACCAGAGTGATCAATATGTAATAGCTTGTTAAGACAATAGCTATTTTTGTATTTTATATTCAATAAGTGATAATATAGTAAAATAGTATTTTACGTGCATTTTAAGTAACTACACAAATCAGATTTTGTTTCGTAATTATAATAATTTTCAGAAGTGGCTAAAAATTAAAGCAATGAAAATAGTGCCAGTAATGTAATGCTTTAATATTTTATTGTACCTACTCCGTACACTGAGTTTGTTATTATAAACATAAATGATTACTTTGTTGTATTGTTATTTATAACCCTCATTTCTAAGTTTTTTGTTACAAATCTTTGTATTAAAAATATTTGTCGAATAAAAACCTGTTTTCTACGCGTTATATACTTAGGTTTTAAAGGTAAGTTGCACAGGTAAGTATGCCTAGAGCAATCTCTCACCATCGACAGGAAATCCATCCTTAGAACCAGAATGGTCACGCACAGTGCGGAATCAGAGGAGCTTCCTCCCGCGAACACTCAGGGTGTAGATGGATTTTCCTCCTGTTCTTCAAAAAGGGCGTATTAAGATTTCTTAAAAGCACACGTGTCATTCCTAGTGTTCAGATGTCTAAAGGCTACGGTAAGCCCGTTTACCATGTAACGTAACATTAATTTTTACTGTATTTTTTTTTTACTTTTTAAATAAATATAATTTTAATATATAAACCTATGAAAGCCACTAGTCGAGTACAATATTATCTGTTTGTTTCAACGAACAGCCTTCGCTTTGTCCCGCACGTCAGACACCTGCAAATCTAAAGCGCCCACACGTCGCATTATTGCGTTAACGCATCTACTTATGTATTAGTAAATTGTACTACCGATCGGGGGAAAAGGGATTGTTAGTAATGGGATTTAACAGTCCCATTGCTAGCAATACATCCTATCAGGTCGACCTCCACGCGGTTCTCCCTGGAAACTATAGTGGTTCATTCTTGTTCAATAGGTCACTACGGGCAAACTGACCTGTCTTCATCCTCACCTGTCACCCTTCACTGGTGCCTCACCAGCGTGTACCAATAGAGCAGGCGGGGCTACTATTCCATCTTAACCTATTGTACTACCGATCCTGTAATAAACAAAATAGTTTAAAAATTACATGTATAAAAGTGTCCCCATGTTGGGAATATCTGAGGAATTTTAATAAGTTTCTGACTACCTCAAACTATCGAACCTAGCGAACATTACTTACAATAGTCGCTAGTAGCCCAATAAAAATTGTGTGATAAAGTCAAGAACTAGCGAGCGTTACATATAATAATCGCTAGTAGTTCAAGAAACATTGTGCATTAAAGTCGCAGACATGACATTGAGGAAAGGGGTATCTGGAACTGAAACGGACCTTTTTATTACGTTTTATGACCTAACGACATTGTAATTACCCATACCCTGATTTTTAGGTAGTTTAGCTAGTGTATCAATGTAAATTAACATTGTAAGGATGATTGATTTTTTTGTTTGTTACGATTTAACTCTCCTCGGAGTAACAGGCTATTTTATATTTTCTATAAGAACCCGTGCGAACTATTCTATCGCTATTCTAATTCCTTTTTATACTTGGCATACATTAACACCATATTTTTTTAAACAAGCAATTTAAAATAAATCATATTAAACAATAAAATTTATTGGAACAAAAAGATTTCTTTATTATTTACACTATTATTTAAAAAAAAAATGTTTATTAAATAATGCCAAGCATAAAATTACCAAAAAATGAAATTGTAAACTTACTAAATTGAACTTTCAGTCTATTTTTTTGCTCTACACAATATTATTTAAACATAAGGATTCTCCATTAATATGAAGTTACCCAAACCACACCCTATACGTATAACTCGAAGGACTTACTAACATAAATTTCTTAAACTGGTCAGGGAAAAATTTGACAATCAACTGCCACTATTATAGGATTTAGCTCCAAAACTGAGAACGGTTCAGGAGCCGGAGTCTTTTCCTTAGACCTTAATATAAATATGCACATACCGCTTGGCGTATACAGCTCAATATTCCAATGCGAATATGTAACAATAACTGAGGCTGTTGCAGCTGTACATAGGCTAGGAATAAATGGTATTGGCATTAGATTCTTATCTGATAGCGCAGCAGTACTAAAAGCATTACGAAACAAGACAACAAATTAATAATTGAATACCACCATTCACTGGATATCTTCTAATAACCGAGTTATCTTCCAATGGATAAGAGGGCACAGTGGATATTATGATAACGATGCCTCAGACGAACTAGCTAGAAGAGGTTCAGGAACGAGGGTGGTAGGCCCGTATCCACTTCTTCCTCTTCCGTTCTCGCAATTTAAAATTTGGATTTGTCAAAGATCCGCTAATATATAAAACCAAAGATGGATACAGGATACTGATTGCAGACAATCAAAATTAGTCGTGCCTACGTTGAATCAACGACTATTAAAACGTTTACTACATCTAGATAGGAAAAACCTCAAAATAATGATAGGGACAATAACGGGCCATTGTCCATTAAACAAACATTTATACACAATAGGAGCTACAGACAGCCCTCTATGTCGAAGCTGTTAGAAATCCTCAGAATGGTGAGGTCGCTCCGTGAGGTCTGTGAAGATCCCAGGAAGCTTCTGTGCTTCTGGGCGGAACTAGGTTGGCTGTACTAGCCACGACTCATACGCAACGACCCAAATGAGAGACTAAGTGCGGAAAATAGAGTCCTGTTTACATTACATTACATTAGACAACATAAGGAAATGCGAGAATGAAACCAAAATTAAAATTGCTAATAAAAAATGGTGGCAAATAAAAAGAAATGTAAGTTGTTAAATGTTTATTTAAGCCTTAACAGCATAGACCCTTGGCGGAAAGAGAGACTTCTTTCTTATTTCTTTCCTTGTTTTAATTTTTGCTTCATGCTTGGTGAGGGCTTTGCGCATTGCACGAGTCTTTTTGGGTCTCAAATCTAAAGGCTTGTACTTCTTGTTCTTATAATGGTGACGAAGGTTTACTTTCATTTTTTGATGATATACAATGTAGACACGTGCAATAGCTTTTCTGACAACCCGTCTGTAACAAAAAAAAATCATTAATTAAAAAATTTCATGATCTATTAAGTCTCTATGTCTACCCCATAAGGGGTGTGGTGTGAAGAAATGTGCACATGTAATTTATAATTCTAAGTAGTAGAAACCTTAGTAAAATATCAAAGATCCCACTCATAGGTATTTTATCAAAGCACAGCACCATATTTAAGAATAAAATTCTTAAATGTGATGTTCAATGTAAGTTTAATAATAATAGTAAGTACTACATTATTTTTACTTCATATTGTACACACACTACCCACTACACTCTTTTTCTCTTTTGATCTCTGAAGATTTGCTGGAAGAGAACTCTTACAGAGTTAAGCTTGCATGTACAACAATGTAATTTTTATGTACAATAAAGTATAAATAAACAAATATATATCATAATATATGGTAAAGAAATTACACAAAAAGGCCACAAAAGAAGTTACATTTTCCCCTTTTATAGCTTTATCATCTCATTTACTTTAGTACAAAATTCTATAGAAAAAGATGTGCACTCTATTTCAAAATCTATATAAATAAAAAATAAATGGCTGAATACATTAATGCAAAAGTGCATCACTTTAGGGCAGTTGCACCGATCTGGTTAATACTTTTATTGTTGTTTGTAATTTTAAAATTTATATGTAGGAAACCGTTTGAAAAATTGTATGTCAAGATGAAAAACTTGCATTAGAAAAGGGAAGTCTATGTAATTTTATTTATTAGTACACCTATGTGAACCTGGAGTATGGAGTAACATGTTATTAATTAGACCTAAGACAGTATGGTAATATCTAATATTAGTATTAATAAAAAAAATATTGATTTTTTGATTGAAGGTGTTCTACTGTAAATATCTGACATAAACATCAAAGAGCAATAATGATTGAATTTAAGTTATGAGATAGTAGAAATAACCTATTTCTTAGCTTTATTTACAAATTTATAAAAATATTATATATTTATAAATATATAAAATAGAAATTAATTCATTTATAATATAAACTGTGGTTTAAAGGAAAATTAATGGCTACAAGTCACCATAGCTTCCTTAACTTACTTGGACTTCTAATAAATTTGTCCATGGGGAGTAGAGATGAATTTTGGAAGCAGGAAACAAACTTTTAGAGTCTGCTCAACAATAGACTATAGAATGTATCGTTGGCTAAATTATGAACACAAAATTGTTATCTTGAATATGAGAATGTTATGGAATGTAGATACTCAAAATAATGAACTAAGCAGTCGTTAGTTATTATAAGTGGACAGACAATTATTTAAAAATCACAGACATAGATTGACCTTGGTTTTTAAATAATTCTTGATATTTGTTCAGTCAACAATCTTTTAAGATTTTATTACAAACTAGACATTTTTACTAAGAGCATGGTCTTAATTAATATAATTAATTTTATAGAAAGCTGTCTAGATAAATACCAATATTTCCATATAAAATTATGAGCTACTTATATTGATATACTTGATATTATTTTATAGGGTGAAAATGACTCTTTAAAATAAGTGCATATGCATACTCCATCTTTATACACAGCTGTAAGCCCTAATCACATCCCAATGTTGGTATAGCACACTAACACTCGTTTAAATGCTTAATCTAACATCACAATATTATGTATTCTAGAAATTTTGTTTTAAATAAAACTTACATTTTTGATAATTTTGAAGCCACACCCCCAGTAACTTTAGCAACACGGAGATTAGTCAGTTCTGTTTTGAGCTCTTCCAATTGCTTGAAAAGCTCCTTTTTGTCCTTTGTCCGCAATTCGGAACACTTGACCTTCCCCTGCAAATAACATTATAATACTTGTTGGAATTAAAAGTATAATTTCATTGAAAATAGCAATAAAATAAGTGTATCCAGTATACATGTTACAATATAACCTATCCAGGTAAAGAATTTTACTTTAGTTTTCATAATAAGAATTTGATTTCATATTAGGATCGGTTGTCTGGCAATTAACAATAAGAGGTTATAAACAAAAAATTTACAAATCTTGTCGCATCTAAAAAAGCATAATTCCTTTAACGTTGTGACAATAAAAATCTATGGAATATTGGGAAGGTTTTGCCAGTAGTTGGTACGCTTGGCAGGCGAATTGGCAACCACAGTTAGGCTTTGGAAATGTTTTAGAGGGATGCTGCTGTTCATTCCTCATCCTCCTTCAGTCGCCTCTTACGACGCCCACGGGGAAGGAAGAGGTGGCTTATTCTGTGACGGGACCACACATTGATCCGTAAATATATGATATACACAATGGAGCATTGTAATATTTTGTGTCAAAGAATAGCACCATATGTAATAATAAATTGTATTTTATAGTTTAATTAATTACATAGTTATTCCCAAAACACGTAAACACTATTGGCAATTGAGATTACAAAGATTTGTAAAGATTTAACTAACCATTTTCTGAAAGCAATATACGGCACTTTTTACTTCAAGCTAAGAAACTGAAAAGAAAGAAAAAATCATCAGTCAGCAACTGACAGACAATTGACAAGAGTACTAATCACTGTCAGTGTCATATTTGTCACCACAGAGCAAGTAATCACTACGTTATAACAGTTGATACGTTGGTAGAACTGTGTTTACGGAAGAAAACGTGCTAGCAGTAAAAAATGTGATCCAAGACAATAGACGAGTTATATACCAAGAGATTCAGCATATATTGCAGATTGGATCAGGAAGCCTTCACGAGATTCTACACGTGCATCTATGAGTGCGGAGGATCGTTTCACGCTGGATGCTGCACAACCTCACCGATGTTCAGAAGCAGGCAAGGGTGGAATGGTGGCTCAGCAGTCTCGTCTTGGCGTGTTTACGACATCGTTACCGGTGATGAATCCTGGATTTATTAATATGATCCAGAAACAAAGTGCCAGTCGACGGTTTCGGTGTATCAAAACGAATCAACGCCTATTAAAATAAGGCGACCTAGAAACGAGGGGAAGATTTTGATCGTGAGCTTTTTCAATTTGACTGGCTACTTGCTATCAATTCCTTTACAAAACCAAAGAAGTATTAACGCCGAATAGTATACTACCAAATGCTTGGCAGAAATTTTCTCTGTTGTGAGGAACAAGCGACCAAACACACCGCAATCAAAACGAGGGACTTCCTAGACAGCTTACTGGTCAAACTCCTGGGTCATCCTCCTTACAGCCCTGACCTAGTACCGTGTAACTTCTTAGTCCCAAAAATAAAAAAAATCAGCTCAAATGTATATAATTTTCGTCGCCGGATGTGCGCTCTCAGCGTTCAAGCAATTCAAAGCAAAGAAAAAGTTTCAAAAACTGGTTGAGACGTATGAAACTTTGTATAGAGGCTGGTGGAGAGTACTTTGAAAAAAAATATGATAGATGTAATAAAAATATGTTTACCTATAGAATTTTTTTTTTTGTCACAATAATTTCTGAGTGTCCCACGTACATATTTAAACTTATTTTACATAAGTGACAATTCTAGCAAATTTTTTATTAACCCTTCTTTCGTTTTTGTTTTATTTTAACCCTAAGAATAAATCTTAACCTTGGGATATATAGAAAATGAACACATTTTATTTATTTATTCATTAGTAGTTACAAATATGTATACATGACGGACTTTTTGTGAGATTTCAAGAAAACTATTCTATTTAGTTAATAAAATATAGTAAATTTTTAAATATCATGATGCCGGGTTTTGTGCTGATATATAATAGCTGATAACACAAATAGATTAACTTGAAAAAAATTGAATCGAATTTTAAAATTGTTTCTATTCAGTCAGTACTTCCTAGAAGTAAAGGAAAAACATTCCTTTCCTTTCTACGGTCCTAGGTCTTTAATCTTTCTAATCTGTGAATATAGTTTACCTCTAAGAACAGAGAATTACAATTATATTCCGAAATCTTTGGTTCAGCTCCTTTTTTAGCTACACTTGCACAATTGTCTGTGGTTGGTTATTGATTTCTAAGCCTTTTTTTTCTCTGTCAAGCATATCTGTGGCACATTTGTTATATACTCTTTGGTCTGATGTTATCTGACGTATAAAAAGGCGGGAAAACTTGTAACGCAAGGGCGGAAATTTTAAATTCATTTTATTTGTTTAATATTTATTTGTTGCTTCTCCTAGTTTCTTTTACTTATTTCTCCAATTTAAGCCCTCGTGTGTTGTTAGAGGATATGTGCGAGTCAAGCGGAGGCAAGTTAAAAAGAAGAAAAAAAAATACTTCCATATCTGATGAAGAGCCAGATGCTAAGATGAGTATTAAATTTACTCACTCAAAAAGAGGACTGTTTAAAGATCAAAATTACCTATATTCTGACACTACTAAAAATGAATATTTTATTCTGTTGTCTCCTATTGAGGGCAACAATGTAAACTTATTGCAAGTCAATTCTATTCTGAGGACTGTACCTGGTGTATTCTATATTCGTACTATGGGTCCTACTGCATTCAAAATATGTTTTCAATCAATGAAACAGGCTAACGAATTTTTATTAAATAAAGATTTATTAGAAAAACATAAACTTCAGGCTAGGATACCCAATAATCAGCTGGAATCTCAGGGAGTTATAAGAGCTCCTACTGAAATATCTGAGGAAGATCTCTTAAATAACTTAAAATCTACTGTAGACATCATCGGTGTTAAACGTTTCAAAAAAAGAAAGAAGATGGAAGTTTTCATCCTCTTCCTACAGTTTTAGTAACTTTCCTCTCTACGCAGCGACCTGATCACGTAACGTATGACCATATTTGGCTGGATGTGCGTGAATTCATTAGACCTCTACTCCAATGCTTCACTTGTTACAAATTTGGTCATGGAAGCAGTTCCTGCAGAAGTAAGCAAGTCTGTTCCATATGTGCCGGTGCCCATGATTATAGATCCTGTATCAACAAAGAGAACCCTAAATGTGTTAATTGTAATGGACAACATGTAGCAGTATCTAATAGCTGTCCCACTAAATCGATGAAATTGTCTCAAATCAAAGATAAAATTCTAGGCAAAACATCTTATGCATCAGTGACTTCAAAATCGGTTAACTCTGTAATTAATTCAAATACTTCTGTGTCTATTAACAGCCCAATGCAAAATAAATCTCCTCAAAAAAGGGCATTAGTTACTGACATCATTAACTCAGACATTGTACTCAACACAATTACTAAGACTGTTATTGAGCTAGTTAAGAAAGCTCAAACTAATTCTGATACAATTTCATCCAAATTAATTAAGGAAATACTCATATCTAATTTTTCAACATGACCATTACATCTTTAAAGGAAATTAATATTGTTCATTGGAACTCAAGAAGCTTTCTGTCTAAAATATTTCAATTTAAAAACTTTATTTACAACTTTACATCACATTTTGATATCATTTTACTAAATGAAACTTGGTTTGATTCTAACAAAATCTGTAAATTGTCTGGCTACAATATTGGTTTGAAAAATCTAATGTTTTTCTTGGTAGACAATATTATACTACATTAAGTAGATTGCGGATAGGTCATTGTAAATTTCCTGCACATTTGCAACGTATTAATTTATTGGATAATTCTATCTGTAAATACTGCCAAAACATTTTTTTTTATTTGGATCATATGTTTTTTGTTTGTCCTAAATTCTCACTTCAACGGTTACTTTTTATTTGTCAATGTCAAGATTTATTAAAATGTCAAAATATTCCTACTTCAGTGCAGGATCTACTAAAACATACCATTTTGTACCACGAAATTTTTAATTATATTACTTCAACAATTGGTGAAATTTAAATATGTAATTGTAACTTATACTTTTCTACTTAACTTACTTTCTTAGTATATTATAATTAATTTATAACTATAATATTTTTTGTAATTTGTCTTTTAATTTTATATTGTTACCTTGTAATTGTTACTTTTTGGCTGATTGCTTTCGCCAAAGTCACAATAAATGAAAAAAAAAAAAAACTCTTTGGTCTGTGATACATATTGATTTAAGAATTTTGGAATAAATTTAGTTTCATTAAATAGTCATTTGTTGCGCTTTAAATTTATAATTTTAGTATTAGTAAAACAAATTTTTATTACGTCTAATTTTGTACCGCCATACGTGCATTGAAATCAACTCTATGTGGTGTTTACAGTATAACAATACCAAACTAATCTAGCAAGAAATCACATCCCTTTGAATTTTAACTTTTTATATTGTTCATAATGAGCAATCAAAACGATTTATGTTATGAGAAAGCTTTAGGATATTGGGCAGATATACCACCTACCGTGGATGGTGTACTTGGAGGTTTCGGGTTTATATCAGACATGGATATTGACGGATCAAAATTATTTCTGAAATCATTGTTTTCATTAAAAAATCCGCCAGCTTCACACACGGCACTAGATTGCGGTGCCGGAATTGGAAGAATAACAAAATATTTGCTTCTCCCTTATTTCCAATCTGTTGATGTTATCGAACCAGATGAAAAATTCTTAAATACCATCACAGATTTTGTTGGAGAAGAAAGAACTAAATTAGGAAATTTTTATAATGTCGGACTTCAAAAGTTTAAGCCCGATAAGAAGTATGATGTCATATGGAATCAATGGGTATTAGGATACCTTACGGACAAAGATTTAATATCTTTCCTTCAACTATGCAGGTAGTTTTGGTTTGCTTTACTCTTACCCTATTAATATCCTTTCAATATTATTATTTTTTCGGATAATTATCATCATAATCTTCTATATTGGTATGATAACAATGTGAGAGTAGTTCATTTACCGTATTCTAATTTTGCCACTCAGGAGTCTTGTGTTGCATTTATTTTTTGCCAAAATAGATAAAGGAAAAGCAAGACACCAAACTGCACATGTGCTTCCCTTTCCATATTTGCTGGTAATTAACAAAAATCTAGAAATTATTAACTGTTACTCAGGATATTGCTAATCTATTCAATAAATAGTGTACTGACCCATTGCTAAATCAAACCTAAGCTATAATTCTATATACCCACTGATACTCTTAAACAAAATTATGATAATTGATTTTGTTCCACAAAAAAAAAATACAATTTCAATTGTGGTATAACAAACTACTTTGAATTAAAAACTAAATTATTGAATCAATTTTGATACATTCTCTATGGGATCAATCTGAAATCATATTTTATTGAAGTAGGTGTTACTTTGCAGAAGTTCATATTACCATATATGTTATTTAATTAGAATTATTTTTAGTAATTTTGCTACCAGTGTATGTGTGTGACTGCCAATACTATTATTACCAAAAGTTCCACAACTTTTCATATTAGCCAGCAATCTCAATCTGCCATTTTGTTCACACATGTTTTTAGACAAATAATTTTAATTAGATAACCAGTGTGAAACCATTCAGTTAAAAAAGAATTTACCAAATTGGTTTATAAATGAATTTTTGAAGACAGTAGAAAATGGAATCATCTCATGACATGATTTATATGTGAAAACCTAATAATTTCTAATTTTAAAGCTTTGGTGTTAAGGTGTAGAAACTTACTAATAAAATTGTAATTTAAATATACATGGTAGATATTTTAGAAAAATTAATGTGAGGAGTTTTAATGTAAGTAATAGAAACCAAAACAATAATTTATAGAAATTTTAATTGTATGTTTATTCTAGCATCATGCAAAAACTATCGCATTAAATTAAATGTGGTTTTCCTAGTTGTATCCCTAAGGCCTAACTTGAAAACTGCTCTAGCGGCTTTTTATTTTTAAAATCCATACATTAGTAGAGGATAAAAAGTTAGTTATAAAATTTTCAGTTCTTAGGCTCAAAGTACCAATATAAAAGATATAAAAGATAAGTCAAATTTCAGATAAATCTAGGTGTTTTACACACCTATATATGCTTAATTATATATTTTAACCAAATGTTTAATGATCTTGTTTCAGGAATGCTCTGTCTGAAAATGGTGTTATTGTTATAAAAGAAAATGTAACATCATCTGGCAAATTAGAAAAAGACGAAACAGATTCTTCTGTAACTAGATCACTCAAGCAATTTTTAAAAATATTTAAAACTGCCAATTTAAGGCGTATTAAACAATGCAAACAAACAAATTTTCCTAATGGTATCTATCCTGTATACATGTTTGCTCTAGTACCTAAAATAAATGAATTGATATGCAATAATATACAAGACTAGCTGTATTCCAGAGTTTTATTCATGTAAATCAGTATATAAAATATCCCATTTAGTTAGGATATAACCTACCTGTGTACCAAATTTTATTCAAATCCATTCAGTAGTTTTTGTGTGAAAGAGTAACAAACATACATTCATTTGTTCGTCCATCCTTATAAACTTTGGCATTTATAACATTAATAGGATTCATTAATTTAATCTTTTCAAAACTAAAGGGATCAATAATTGCATTTGTCCACAACAATATATAAAGGAGAGACCCTTTTATATTCCTTGCTTCCGGACCTCTAAGGAGTTCAAATGTATGTACATGTATCTATGTTTGTGTATTTCTCTTTTTTATTTTATATATTTAAAGTAAAATAAGTGAATGTGTTGAAAATTTAAATAAAAGGCCAAAAAATGCAAAGTCGTTCTCAGAGTTGTTTATTATCCACCTTCTATTGATTGACTATTTCGACCAACTTGAATTAAGAAACAATTCGTTTGGATTACAAGCATCGCATAATATTAGGTGATTTTAATATCTACTGATCTTTTAATAGATTCCCTGTGTTCCCGAAAACTTCAAAATCTTATTAAGTCTGTTCATCTTAATATTCTCTCACTAGGACTCGCTCATGTTAAACCTTCTTCAGATACGCGGCTTGATTTATTAATCACTTCCACTCGTAATCATTGCCCTAATGCAACCAACTACCTGCTTCTGGTTTTCCGAAATATGAAGCTCTAAACTTAAAGCGCCTAAATTTAAACCTACGTTAGTCTGGATGCGTAACTTGTAGAGTTTGAAGAGGATAGATCTCCAAGATAGACTTTACCAAGGTGTACGAGGCGTCAACAATGAATGACAAAATCTCTAATAATATAATACTAAAATTGTTTGATGACCATATGCTGATGCGTATAGTACGTGTCAAATGGCCTCCAGTGCCGTGGATTACCAAAGGTGTACATATGGCCATGACCCAACGTGATAGAGCCATTTAATTTGATAAGTATGAAATAAGAGGCAGCGCTAAAACCTATCTCATGATCACTGAAAAAGCCCAACGTACCGTACTTAAAATAATCGGAGGCCTTTATTTTCCGATATCAAAGTTTAAAAGATCTGGGATGTGCTGAGGATTAGGCAATCCTTCATCATAGCCAGTATCATGCGCATGTAATCAGGTCGATTTTAATCCGGATCTGGTAAATAGTAAATGTAGAAAGGAAAAGATGCCACATTAAGGTATTTAAAATTACTGTTACCATTTTCTTTATCCTTATATTTCTTGAAATTCTTCTTCTTTTGAATTGAATCTTCTTATATTCTTGAAATAAAAAAGCTACACTAGCATCAATTACTACGTATTAGGTCAAATTTTGTAAACGATATTGTTGTCCTGTAAGCGTACATGATTTTTCTTTGTCAAAGTTCTTCATGCTTGATTTTTTTCCGATGTGGAAATGACCAAAATTCAGAAGGCAGACCCTGCACATCTCTGTCTCGTTTCACAAAAGCCGTAAAAGAAGATACGCAATTCCCAATAAAGTAGTTGGCTTGCCCTAAAATTGCTAAATCTAAGTGAGGATTTGATCGCTGTAATTTAATTGTCTTTATCTCAAAACTATCTAAAGCAGAATTGAACTCCTCCATCATATAGTTTGAATCAGAAGCAATGAAAATATATTTAATATCATTCAATTTTTTTAAAGCTCTCTTCACTTGTCTGAAAAGAAAAAAATATAGTAACAGATAAAAAAAAATAAAGAAAAATTATTTATTTTATTATTTCCCGTGTGGTCTCGGCATTGAATTGGCCACTCCTTTCCTTTACCGTGGTTGTCGTAAGAGGCGACTAAGGGAGGACGAGGGATAGGCAGCAACATCTCTCTTATTACATCTCTAAAGCCTAACTGCGGTTGTCAATCCAACTGCCAAGCGTGGCAACTACTGGCAAACCCCCTCTAGAACGAGGCTTATATTCAGCAGTGAACAGTTAGATTGATATGATAATGATTATTTATTTCAAAATTAATGTCATATTAAAATTGTATTGTAAACCCGGGTAACAGTAATCCTACTAATAATATACACGTAAAAAAAGTTGATGTTTGTTATTCTATCATACTTAAATGGTTGGAACAGAATGAAATTTGGTGCGCGGGTAGGTAACATCTTAATATAGGATACTTTATATTACTGATGCACGTGAAGAAAGTTGTGGGAAAAGGCTGAACTAACATAGGTGTATTTAAGGATAGAATTGCCCGGTCCATACACATTCTATACACCTACGCTTTTTTTAAGAGGCAAACTAGAAAGTGATCTTAATAATACAAGTAGGTTTCCTATGATTTTTAAAATATAGTTATAGCTATCTAGATATTTCTTGTTTATGATTGTGATAATGCTATTTTTAAGTAAATTAACAATAAATTTAAAATTTCATTTATTTGAAATTTTTATTCAGACTGAAATTAACGATTACGTTGTAGATTTAGAATCATTGTGATTAATTTGATGTGCTACAAAGCTCAATTATATGTATTTGTATGTCCAAGCCTTGCTGGTTTGGGAAGCTTTGTTGGTATGCCTAAACCTTTGGGAAGTTTTAGTGGTTCCCAGCACCTGTTTAGATGACGATAAAACAAAGATGATCAGACAGACTAGACCTCGGCTTTTTCTTATGTCTCAACAGTTTGGGCATCACCCAACCAGCCCTCTTCCTTCTCGCAACTTATAAGTTGCAGTCCCTAGTATTCTGCGCCCAGGTGCTAATAAGGGGAAAAAGGATTGTTAGTAATGGTAACCAAGTCGACCTATGCTGGTTCCTCCTGGAAACCATTATGGTTAATATTTTAGTTCATCATGACGAGCTAAATGATCTGTTTTCATCTTCACCTATCATCACTGGTGCCCTGCCAACATATACTGATAGTGCAGGTGAAGTTATTATTTCATTAAAACAGTTGTATACACCCCAAATTACTAGGTCCAAGTAGCCCCTTCTTATATACAAATTAATAATACTAATAAATATGGATCACTCAGAATAATAAACTTACTTTATTATATCAGATTTATGAGGGAAACACATAGATGAAGTTAAAGGCCCTCGTTCATTTTTATATCCAACACATTGTGGTGCAGCAAATAATGTTGGACTGTCCTTGACATGCCTACAGGCCTTGACCCAATCTTGACCATTTCTTAGATGAATACCTAAGAAGCCACCCCCATTCATATTTTCTTTTATAAATATTTTAGATTTGTTTAGAATGTCATCATTCCATGCTATATATTTTTGTAAGATTAAATTCTCTTTTTGAACAGGAAAACTGGCTGGGGCACCTGCAATAAACATTAAAAAGTACACATACCATAATATTCTAAAATCATTCAATTAAATTATGTTAATGTTATCTTATATAAAATATAAAAATTCCAAAATAATAAGATGTTTGTTCACACTGAATTTCAAAACTGCTCAACTAATTTTAATGAAGTTTTGTAAATGTGTATTGTATCAGTTCTGATCTAATTTAAGAGATAATAATATGTGCCTCACAATTATACCAGTTACCTGGTTCTCAAGCAAGGATACATTATGTGGAATCAAGCAATAAATATCTATCAGATGTTCTGTTCCTATATTAAACCAACTTCAAAAAGAAGTTGTATTTTTTTTATGTTTGTCACTGCATAACTCTATAATATTGATGCCATAGAAATTTTAACAACATCAGTTCAGTAGTTCAGTTTTAAATCAAAATAATTGGTATTACCACAACTGAAGTCAGTTTTGTTCACAAACAAAACACAATTTATTTTGATTTATTTATTTAATTCTTATTGCACTAAAAACATAAAAATATACAATGATAATTAAACAATTCAAGTGAACTACAGTAGCATTAAGTTCAGATTAAAATATATACATGAAAATACAATCTTAATTATATTAGTTTTTTATCATAGTAGAAGTTATATAAATACAAAAAACAAACATACAATTGTACATCTTCTGCTAAATAAATCAGACAGGGGCAGTACAGGCATGAAGTTATTAGTTCAATAAATCTGAGAGAAAAAGGTGTTAATAGGTTAAATAATAATAGAGCAAAATGAATTTGTTAAATATAAAAAATATTTTAAAACTGATTTTATAATTACTATCCTTAATGAAGGAGGGGAGGGTGGGTAAATAATGAGTCTATTATAAAAATTGAAGTTTTCATAAAGACAATCCCAATTTACAGAGGTATATAAGTACATTCTTATAAATTAAAACAGAAAACAATATATTTCACTATAAATACCTGTAAAAGCTAAAACTGGCCAGTCTTCTGGGGAGTACTTTTGTTTCCACTTCTCCATCATTATTACATTATGAGCATCATAGTTCAAAGGTCCATAAAATTCAGATTCAACAAAATCTATATTAAATGTATCCCAAAATGGTCCAAATGGATTACCAGATTTTGCATTGCAACTAATACCTTCTCCTCTTTTTGTATAGCAGAAGGATATTCTTTTATCTTCTGGCCATAGTGTAGGTGCAATGTCTCTCATAAATGAAGTCATAGTAATAACCCTGTGATAATGTTTCAATGTATCAACTCTAAAATAAGTGTCAAATGGAACTTGTGTAGATTTTGGCTCTCCAAATCGGTACTCAACCCATGGAGGAAGAATAAGAGTTCTATTTATACCTTTACTAAATGCTAATGCACCCAAAAAATGATCTGCTTGATTTCCAAATCTCCCTAGAATAGAACAAGAATTTCATAGGCAAAATGATTAATGAAGGAATAGTTTTGATATTATTCCCCATAGCATATTTAGGTTTTCTAAAGTTCCAATGTTTTTTAAGTCTTCAATATAGGTAAAGAACCATATACTAAAGTCAAAAAGATTTTTATTATACAAATTTAGGATGACAAACAAACTGATGACCACTTACAGAAAAGTTATTAATATAGCCTACATCATATCCTTAGTAATATTATAAGCATGAAAGTGAGTTTCTGTTTGTTACCTTTTGGCATCTTAACACTTCAAGCAGGGGGGAAAGGGATTGTTAGTAATGGAGACTGAGAATCCGATTGCTAGCAATATAACCAACCAGTTCAACCTCCTCGCGGTTCTTCCTGGAAACTATCATGGTTAATTCCTGATGAATTCATTATGATGGGCTAACTGTCCTGTTTTCATTCTCATCTATCACCCTTCACTGGTGCTTCACCAGCATATTCCGTTAGCGCAAGTGGGGTAACCATAACCATACCATTTTCACCCATCAAAAAAAAAAAAACACTAAGCAAATACAATGAAATTTGGTAAGTATACACAATGTATTTGGGACAGAGATAGGCAAATTTTTATTAACCAAAATATGTCTGTCCCAAATACAAAGTCTCGTCTAATAAATACTCCATACATCGTATTTGAAGCGAAGGATAGTCGATTTGATAAAACTTAATAAAAAGCTGTTAATATATATATATATATAAAAATAACATAAAAATACTCTGTAAATTAGTAAGAAATCGAAATATTAGATCTCATTGATCTAATATTTCGATTTCTTTCATTCATTTTTGATTTGCACTGATATTAATGTTGGATATAAGAATTCCTTATAATCGGGTAGTTAGTTTATATTTTTATTAAGTTCTATTGAAACGGACTATAATGTATTTCCAATAAAAAACTATGTTTAAGTTGGTAAATATACATAATACTTGGTTACACCTATAAACACGATTCAATCATTTTAATTGAAATATAGAAATATCTATTTACTAACCCATACATGGACAGTAAACAACATAACCATTTTTATCATATTTTGAAATGATAGCTAACGATATTGTTATAAAATTGATAAAGAAAAGTAATTTAAACATGGTACATCAAATAGTAGGCATCAAGTTTATAAAGTGTATAACACAATATAATGAAAATAGCAAAGTGAATTAAAATTGATTAAAAATAAAAGTCTTGATTATAAAGACCTCAAACTTATACAAATGTTTTGTCAAAACTGAAAACAAATTTTTATGCAGGTGGACGAATAGGGTTACCATACTGTATAAGAAAGTTACTCAAAAATTCAGAATATCGAAGAATAAATATTGTATAGTGACATTGAAAAATAAAAATAACACAGAATTCTTATGAATATACTTGAAAAAAAAAACAATGCATAACGATTCGTAATGTTACCTATCTCTACTTTTGATTATCTTTATTATCAAATGATTTATATCTGAGTACATAAAATATGCTTTTGTTTTAAAATAATTGAAAATAACTGTCATTTTAATTAATTCATGTATATTAATTTGTAAGCAATACATTTGTATTGCGTATTATTTACATTATATTAGGAAAAATAGTTTCTTACACAAATAAAAAAATTACTTGATCTGGGAATTATTTAAAAATATTTCAAAGATTTTTGGTTGTAAAGTTAGAATAGATGGAACGCAAAAATGCATATAGTGTGTTATATATAAAACATCCATTTTTTGAACACTTCACCGAAATAATACTTGGTATATGGAATAGATTCATTCCATATACCAAGTTCTAAAATTATCCGAATATATAGCTTTAAGGAAAGGAATATCTGAAGGATGTCGGATTAAAAATCTTTAAGATATAGAAGAGATAGGAATAAAATCTACGAAAATTAAAATGTTTGTTGATAATAAGTCTGCCGTACATGTGGCTAAGAAGTCATTACAACACACTCTTAAATCGTATAGACTTAACACACACTTACATTCAAGATAAAGTTAACAGAGGCATTGTAATTTTAAATTATATTTGTACAGAAGACTAAATAGCAAATTGTTTACCAAACCTTTAAATAGAGCTGTGTGCTTGCTATAGTATTGTACCATAGCTTGTTATTTTTGTTAATACATAGCAGGCTAGTATAGAAAATGTTTGATATGCCAATTATTTTCAACTATAGTCAATGACAAATTTTACATTACTAGATTATATATTCGACACAGTTTATGTAGAAAGTATGCAAGCAGTTTGTATCTGAATTTGGTAGGGTTATACGGCTGTATAAATTTTTTTATACACTTGCCTGCTATGGATTGATAAAAATAGCAACTGATGGTGTATCTTTCGTCCTCTTTTTACTAATTATATTTGCATAAGAAAAAAGAAGCAGTTATATGATTTACAGTTTTTATTTTATCATTTCTTCTATGTAATTCCTTGTTCTTAGGTCACATCCACATAATGGTGTATTCCTTCTTAGAATTTTTTCAAATTACTTGCAACACTGAATAAAGTGAGGTTTATTCAAAGATTTTGGAATAGTATAGATTTTAATTCTTGTTCATAGGTTTTATTATATTAAGTAAATTTTATATATTCATATAAGTCTAGTATAAGTAAAAAAAAAAAACTTATTATGCTATAATGGCTAACCTATAGACGTACTACGGACCTGCGTATAATTTTTTAATTCTTAAGGGTTTGTACCTTGTTCAGGACGGTGGGTTAAGATGTATTAGGTAATAAGGTATGTACAGTATAATATACTTAATTTTATTCTTGACGCATATAAGTGGTTAGATTGTGTGTTGTTAGTTCTATGTGTAGGGGGAGAGGACACATTGTCATTATAAGGTCACCACTTATAAATTTTTTTCGCGATTTCAATAATTTATGTATAAAACAGTAATTGATAAAATAAGTACAATTTTATATTTGGTTCAGGAGTAATGGAGTACATTTTGTCAGCTTGTGCTTTTTGTAAAAGCACAAAAAGTGTATGAGTATCATTTCTACCTATACCTATTTATGTCATAATGAAGTATTAAACTACGTGTATCAAAATTCAAATCACTTTTATTCAAATAAACATGTTTACAAGTACATTTAAATAGTCTTTTCTTTTTTTTTATAAATGCAGGGTTTGGAAAAATATTATCTGTTGAGAAGAACTCGCAAGTTAACAAGTAAACTCAACAGTTACTTTTGAAAATTTCTGTTCATGTTATATGTATTTATTTAAATGTACTATGTCTAAAGTTATATGGTCGTTAAAAAGCCCGTGCATGATCGACTGACTGATTAAATTTGTTATTCAAGTATATAATCACAAAGTAATCGTTTAGGGTGTAATAGGCTTTGTTCAATACCTAAGTGTTTTTGTAAAACAGTTTTCAACTTATTAAAAAGTAGATCCACAATATTCCTTGGTATTTTATTATAATATTTAATGCCCATTCCTATAAAAGACCTATAAACTTTTTCTAAATGATACTTCAGAATAGCAAGTTTGAATTTGTATCTAGTGTTAAGATTATTTATATCACTGTTTTTAAGAAACAGTTGTAGATTCCTACGTATGTACAAAACGTTTGCTTATGTGTATTGTGAAGCTATGGTAAGAATATTTGCTTCTTTAAATCTCTCTTTTTCACGACTTCCCATAAAATAAATCGCGGTAATTGCACGTTTTTTTTATACAAATATGCTTTGGTGTCGGCTCTTTACCCCATAATAATATTCCATAGAACAGTATACTATAAAACTAATCGAAATAAATTAATCTCTCAGTCTCGATATTACTATACTGTTTATATGCGTATGCCGCAGAACTTAGTTGCAAAGTTTTGAATGTGGGAACTCCATTGAGTTTTATTATCAAGAGTAATTTCAAGTAAATCAAGAGGCTCGTTATTTAATTTAACAGTAGAATTGGAATTATGATTTCTAGAAAGAGAAAAATTTACGCATGTAGTTTGTTTAGCGTTCATTATTAGATTATTAGTTGTAAACCAATGCAAGAGACGTAGAAAAGCACTATTTACATTGTCATATTTTTTGTTCAATCTATCGACATTAAAAATCAAAGTAACATTTGCTAACAATATTATACACCACATCTATTTTGCATTGCAAAAGTGACTTAATTTATACGAGGAGGGATCAAAAAGTAGTGAGAACGAAAAAAAATCCATGGTAAAAAAAAATACTGGCGGGCATAATATTAATTTGTAATATTAATAAAGAAAAAATTTTCCATTCTCTTTTGTTTTTTTTTTCTGAATGTAGTCCTTTGTTTGCTTCGTGTCGGAACGTGTTCTTGAAAGTGGAGAAAAATGAAGTGCGAGCCGTTATTAAATACCTCTGTTTAAAAAAGTTAACGACGCAAGAGAGAACGAGCACGGAAGATGAACATCGTTGCGACCGTCTATCGACGTCAGTCATCCAGGAAAATGTTGCGAAAATCGAGAAAATTGTAAGGAGCGATCGAAAAGTTACCTTCCGATACTTAGTTCAAGAAATGGGCATTTCATATGGAAGTACGAGGGTCAAACTGAAAGTCCTTAGAAAATCAAAAACTGATTAAATTAGCAAGTTTTTATCTTTATCTTTTCAAAATAGTGTCCATTCATGTCAATACATCGCTGCATCCGATAGAACCACTGAGAAAAGCACTTTTCTCACTTATCCTTAGGGATCTCTTCGACAGCCTTCTGAAACGTAGCCACAGCTTCCTCGGCGTCTATTTAACGTTTTCCTCGAAGTTTTTCTTTTATTTTTCGAAATAAATAAAAATCGCAAGGTTTGATTAAATTTAAAACATTGTTTTTAACGTCATAAGAAGTTAGTTTTTTTCAGTAATGTAATATTATCTACATAATCGAAAGAAATAGGTAACAAAAAAAGCCAATTACATCCATTTTATTTTCCCAGGCAGTAAAAATGTGTTTTAGTAACTCCACATCTGCATCCGTAGTGGGTCGCCTTTTAGAAAAACCAAATTGACTATTACGAATCGTTTAAATTGAAATAATTAACTAGTTCAACATGATTTTTTCGAAGATTTTACTATTACTTTAGTACGGGAAGAATGGAAATAGTCCTATAGTTTACTGTATCACCAGGGCCGTGCCTGACGGGCGTTCATTGCGTGCACCGCACGCAGGCGGCCGAAATTAAGAGGCGGCCAAATCGTTACAAGTTGTTTACTGGGCCGATTTCGGTTAACCAAAAACTGATTTTTTTCCCGGTTTGATGCCCTGTGTATAATAATAAACATTAAAAATTAAAGTAGTTTTTTTTAATGTTATCCTGGGGGCGGCCATACAGACGGGCACGCAGGCGGCCATATACCCAGGCACGGCCCTGTGTATCACTTTTAATCCTATCTTTAAGAAGCGGTATAATTTTACTGAATTTAATCAGATTAGAAAAATTACCGTCATCTATGCAATTATTACAAATAAAAACAAGAGACGCTGCAACATATCTGACCATTTATCTGAAAGGGTCGACTCTACTAAAGCTGCGTATGACATACATGAAGAGGTAAAATAAAACAGCTAGGTAATCTGTGTATTTTGTGATCTAAGATAATCACACTTTATTATATTTTTCAATAATTTACGTATAATGCGGTTTACTAGCGACGTATTGTATTAATGCGGTTTAAACTAGTCCTGAAAAAAAGTCTGAAGCGTTTTTTATACTACTCGATGGTAAATTATTGACAAGGTCTTTCTTTTTATTTTGTTTGTGATTCACATTAATTATTGAATCAATAGTTTCAAAATAGGAGATGTTCCAAAATTTCACATCATTATCGTGAGAACTTGATGCAATGTATTGACCATCATGACTTATATCCAAACATTCAACTGGTAAGCGATGTTGGCCTACTATACCCAAGTGGCGTTGAGGAAACATGTGTGTGGCTCTCAGTACGCCATCCTCTCCTGAAGTAACAACTACATTTTGAGTTATTGGTATCATGCATTGAATTGAATGTTTTTGTCCAATATATTCATCACTGTGTAAACCAAACTCCTTCCAGTTAAATAAATAAAGTTTTCCTTTCGAAGATCCAACCAGTAGTTTTGTTTCTGATCGGAAAAGTCCCATACATGTTAATTCAGAATCATAGTCTTCGGAAGTGGTATAAATTTTACTGAAACAATAAATATTAAAATTCAATTGGTGGAATAATAAATCCGGCTGCACTATCAGTATACATTGGCAAGGTAGCAGTAAAGAATAAATAGGTGAGTATAAAGTTAGTTCAGTTAGCCAATTGTGACAGATTTTCAGGGGAAGTTTTATGTAGTAACCTGAGCAATATACCCTAGATCGCTAATAATGGAGACTAACTTAAAGTACTAGGGGGGAAGAGATAGTTAATAATGAAGTCCATTGCTAGCAATATACCCTATCAAGTTGACTTCCATACTGTTTCCCCGGGAAACCATAGTAGTCTCTTGTCGAATTCATTATGGTAGGTCAATAGGCCTACATTCATTCTTACCTATCAACCCTCATCGAAAGTGTAGCTAAATTGGTATACAAATAAACTTGAAGTGTTTTTTTTTTTAAATGGATGATATTGAAATGGTAACCCCACCCGCGCTATCGGTATACACCGGCGGGCACCAGTGAGGGATGATAGGTGAGGATGAAGTAGGTTAGTTAGCCCATCGTGACGAATTCAACAAGAATTCTTCACGATGGTTTCCAGGGGGAACCACGTGGAGGTCGACCTAATAAGGTACATTGCTAGCAATGGGGGCTGTCAAACTCCATTGCTAACAATCCTTTTCCACCTAAACTTGAAGTGTTAAACAGAATGTGATGGTAACCCTTTACACATTCTTGTCATTTCGCAGAAGCGAGCTATCCGTATTAAGAGGAATGATGGGCATAAGCGTGTTTAATGGTCTATTTATGTATTAGAAATTCTCATACAAATCTGTTCAACAAATTAGGCGTCATTGCACATACCAACACACTAAAAAATAGAAAAATAAAGTTGTAAACTAGATAAAAAGAAATCCAGTCCGACATACTCATTACAGTACCTTGCTTTTAGATCTATAGATGTAAGCACGCCATCGCCTCCCGCACATACTAAATATTTTTGAGCTTCATTAGTGATCATGTCAGAGACATACTCTTCACTTATTTTTAGATTAAATATAGGATCAGGTTTTCTCATATCCCATAACTTTACGGTTCCCCCATCATCACCTGTAATAGCAATATTGTTTTTACATGTAAAGCAAAATTATTTGTAAATTATTACATACTCTATTAAATATATTCAAAACCCGATGTTAATTTTTACCATTGTTGTTGTTTACAAAATCTACCTAATTGTTTTAAAAGAAAATGGTAGGGTTTGGCAGATTTCTAGTCAAAAGAACAACTGCAGCAGGCTGTCTTATGGTCACGTCAATAATTAGTTTTAGTTGTTCTATATTTATTACATAAATAAATTTTTACCTGTGACTATTTTTCCATTATCTAAGCATTTCAAGCTATATACTGGCTCCTCATGAGCATTTTCGTAACATTGCTTTAATTTTCCTGTTTCAACATCAGTTGCCATTATTACTTTGTCCTGTAAAACAATAAAATTCATGTATCTAATAAAATAGCATGTTTGAATAGGAATTTAGATTATTGGTAACTATGAGTATTACTGTAAACTTAATATTAACTGCATCTACTTTGTACTCCAATGTAATAGATGAAAGTTTGATATTTTTATAATTCAAATTCATACACATACACTGTGTGAATTTCACATTGATTACAACCTTCCAATTAATATAATTTTTGTGCAGTTTTCCGTGAATATATTATAGCTTTTACAGACATAATAATGTATTTTATCATAAACCAAAATTTTTGAATAACTAAATGATGTAGAAACTAACTTTGGCAGTACTGTACACTGTAAGGCCATTATTATCAAATTCGACTTGTCGACAAGCTTTCAAATGTAACTCCAACGTGTTCACAAGTTTTGTTTCATCATTACTGTATTCATACAATAATATGTCACCAACAATATTTGCTATTGCGATTAAATTTTTAATAGGGCTAAATGAGATGTCCACAATAAAATCTTCTGATGTAATAGTTGGTGGATGATCACGAGGTTTATTTTTCTCAGCTTTAATTGCTTTGACTACTTCATCCTCTTCTTCATCTTCATCACTATCATCTTCAGCATTATTTTGATTTGTATTTTGTTCATTTAAGGTTGGTTCATCTACATTATCATCTTCATAATCCATGCTGTCTGAAATAAAGATTAACAATATATAATAAATAGAACAGCCATAATGAGTTATGTAATGTAATAGTTAGTTGAATAAAATTATCACTTATAAAAGTAGTTATTGTATTGTATACATCTTCATAATCCATGCTGTCTGAAATAAAGATTAACAATATATAATAAATAGAACAGCCATAATGAGTTATGTAATGTAATAGTTAGTTGAATAAAATTATCACTTATAAAAGTAGTTATTGTATTGTATACTAGTTTTTTGTCCACTACTATGTATGCCTGGATTTGTATACCACATAGAAATCTGTTCAAAATATTTTTTTTTCATAAATTCAAACGCTTTCTGCAATAAGAATGTAAAAATTCAGGAAAAAATTTTTTTTCATTTTCTTTACAGATACAGAGCATTTAAAGGCAAAGAAGTGATCATTTAGACTACTTTGTTGCCACATTTAAAAAAAATTCAATTTATTGAAACAAAAAATATCTTGATGGAATGAATTGAAACTCTGTAGGGCTTTTAGGGGTACAATGACCTGTAAAAGGCAAACTTAACATTAGTAATTTTTCCAATATTCCCAATGTAGCATGTGATTTTGTAGAAGGCCCCTAAAAGTCCTATTTTTTAAGATTTTTCAGTCATGTTAAGAATTAAAAAAAAATCTAAAAAACTGCATCAGAACCTTGTAGAGAATTCATTCAAGTTTCTGAAACTCGCCATTTTTTGTGCAACTATTAGTTTCTGAGATATAGATAAACACAGAGAAAATGATCCATTTTCATTCAAAGTCTGATAGCTCAGTGAGAAATGGTTGTATCGAGAAAAAAAAATTGAAGCTAAGTGAAAATCTTATCCAAAAGGTGGTTAAGAAAAAAAATTTTTTTCAAGTTTGTACACCAAAATAATATTGATAAAGTTTGAACAATTTTTTTTCATGATATTAAGACTGTGCATTACAACATGTGTTATTTGAAAAAATTTTACGTCCAAAAATTAAAAAGTTCAAGCTTCAAATTGCTTTTTTTACTCTACAATTTTTATCAAAGATTTGAAATACTATTTGAAAAATCCATTAAAAATTTAGGTCATTTTTTACCCTTTTTTTCCACAAGTGTAGTTTTATTATCAAGGTTGATTATATACATGTAAATATCTCTTTAAATTAATGAAGGGTATAACAATGCTAAAGCTAAAAAAAATATAATGTGAGCCAACAGCTTTATGCGTCATATTGTTATAATTATTGTAATTGATCCAAATAAAGTACTAATTTAAAATAATAATATATATTTCTGTCTACTCATTCAGAATGGGCAAGTTGCTAATTAATATTACAAATGTAATAATGAGTACTTTTATAACCTTTTGATGTTTTAACAACTAGTATCTCATAAATTTGAATCTAATATACCAAAGTGCAAACCAACCTTCATGGATTAAAACAATAATATATTTTAATATATTATTGTTTTAAAGAAAACAAATATAAAACAACAATAATTTCGGTTTTGCACTATTACTGCCCGTCCACTACATGTCTCCTGACAAAAAACTGATTTACACATGTGGCATTTAGGATAAAAATTTTATCTTAAAATTTATATAGAACTGCTGTGAGGAGCTGGTGTTTGAAATAGTTTAAAAACTGTAGTACAGATCACCAGGACCTCAACCGATATGTATTTAAAATTACAATTAAACAAAATACATTGCTATGAAATTATACATCACAAAAAAAAAAACAACAATAAAATTAATATTGGTAAGGAAATTATAAAAGCAAGGTGAAATGTGTGGGCTTTAAAGTTGTAAAAATTTCAACAAAATCAGTTCAGTAGTTTATAGTATAAATGTGTAAACAATCACATTGGAATTAATTTACTAATTTATGTGGAACTCTAAACTACATAATCTTGGTGAGGACGACATATATTTTGTAAACATCTCCTTTGTAGGAATGCACTATATTGGTCAAGAGCGAGTTTATACTCAGCCTTGCATTTGACCCATTTTCGAATGGCTGTATTCAAAATCATTTTTTAAGAATTGGATCCCTGTATGGATAAACCACTGTATGAAGACTCCTTACACTGTGCTAATATTATAAATATGAAAGTGAGTTTGTTTATATGTTACATTATAGCGCCTTAACGGTTTAACCAATTATTATGAAATTTGGTATACACGTACTATATGAAATAGAGAAGAATATAAAAACTGAACGTCTTAACCTAAAATGTATTAATACCATTTTCTGAAGATTCTTCATTCGTTCCATCGCTAATATCACTATCACTTTCGTCTGAAGAATTCTTATCATAATCACGGAAATTAATAGCCATTTTGGTTATTTTATTTATCTAGAACGAAAGTTTACAATATATCATTATTTTTAATAATAGTATAGCATAGTGATGGGATTCGAGTTGCTTTTCACTCGAGTGACTCGAGTAGTTTTTATATTACATGCACTCGAGTTAAATTTTTGACTTGAGTTTCGAGTGACTCGCGTCGACTCGAATTACGAGTGACTCGAGTTGACTCGTACCACTGGTTGTTTATATCGTACCACGAGTGGTTTATACCGAACCGAGTGAGAAATTCAAATTGTGACAAGTTTACCCGCGGTAGCAGGAAACTTTTAAGAGAGAAAATTCTTCCTGATGCTTATCATGCCGCACGCACTATAATTGTAGATATTCTACATTTAGTTGAATATACGGCTGCTACAACAGATTTATGGACTTCTGACAATAATAAAGCATACCTAACTATTACAATACTTATAATTCAAAACTTTTTTCGCAAACTGTTACTACTAAAGAGGTTACGGAGAAACATTCTTCTATTATTTTAGCAAGTGCTGAAGTCGATATTATCGAAGCCGTTAGGGAAAAAAATTATCAATTTATTTTTTTAAAGTAGTTATTACACCAATTTCAGTTAAATTTATTATCTCCTTAAAGATACATTATTTTTGTTTTTTTGTTGAGTTTATTTAAGTTTCATTTAAGTTAATTTTAAAACACGTATATTATTACATAAATTGTGTAAGAACATAATAAAACTGTTTATATTTGGATCTCATGAAAGTTCCTTGTTAGAATAAATTAAATTGGATTAGAACTTATTAGTAGTAGATTATAATATTTTAATTTGACTGATAGTTGATATAAGAGGTTTCTTGATTATGTATGACAGGTTTAGTTTGAAGGAAAAATCTATTTTTTACATTTTGTTTAGATTTTTTTTTTTGAGAAAATGAATACACATTTTCTATGTAATATTAATACTGTTTTATTCGTTTTAAAATTTTGGTCACTCGAGTTTTATATTCCGAGTGACTCGAGTCAATAAAAATCACTTGCGTTTTATCTTCACTCGAGTGGCATTCGAGTGAGTCACTTATCAGAACCGAGTGACTCGAGTGAAAAAAACTCGCTCGAGTCCCATCACTAGTATAGCAAGTAAATGATTAGAGAGAGAGAGAGAGAGAGAGGCATAATCTCACTAATCTGTGCAATTGCTAGTGATACATAATCTGTAGATAATGTTATTAACGATGAGTAGCTATACTGCTAGCTATGTAGCTGCTATTCATAGACTAGTTGCGACTAAGTTAACTGTCGTCGTCGTCGTCGACGACTTTAAGAACAAAGAATTACATAGAAGGAATGATAAAATAAAAACTGTAAATTACTGTAATGTACTTACAAACTATGAGAAAGATCATGCTTAGATCTATTATTTACAACTAACTATAAAACGTAATAATTATAAGTATTAATAACATAAATATCGCGAACAGCAACTGATAGTGAATCTTTCAGCCTCTTTTTACTAATTATATTTGCATAAGAAGAAAGGACGCAATCATATGATATACAGTTTTTTTTACCATTCCTTCTATGTAATTCTTTGTCTTAAGTCGTACCTTCAAGAGTGGTTACAACCAATAGCTAGTTATTTTTAGCAACCAGATAACTAAGCAGGCGCTATTATTTTAATAACTGATATTTAGTTGGTTATTAGAACAGATATTCATAGCTATATTATATATTTAGTTTTGACTTTTTGTTATATGGTTTATTTGTCAGTCCAGTCACTTGCTGTTGTTACAGTAGTGTCTTCATTCGTTTGTTGTCTTTAATTCTATACTATTTATTAGTATGTTTGCATTTATATGCCATAATTTTTAAAATAATTATATGAGGAATAACTGTTAATGTATTTACTTAATATATTCTAAGAAGCATAAAGTAATGCAGTTTGGCGTTTACTGTTTGTCGAATCCAACGTCATTGTACACAGGTAACTTTTGTTTTACACTTGTTAGATTGTTATAATTTCTAAGTGACCTTATCACTACGGCAAGGAGTATATAAATTACTACATATGTATTGTGTTACCTGATTATATGCTAGTTTAGGAAGGAATTATTAGTATAAATGGCGACAATTTACTCTTTACTAGTAATAGAGGGTGTATTGGTAGATACAGGGTATATCAGCTGGATTTCTACATGGCTCCCTTGGTAACCATTGTGCTTAATTATTGATAAATTTGTCATGATGAGCCAATTGGACTAACCATCATTCTCAGGGGGAAAGGGATTGTTAGTAATGGAGACTGAGAATCCCATTACTAGCAATATACCCAACCAGGTCAATCTCCTCGCGGTTCTCCCTGGAAGCTATCATGGTTAATTCCAGATGAATTCAACATGATGGGCCCTTCACTGGTGCTCCATCAGCATATCCCGTTAGCGCAGGCCGGGTCACCATACCATTTTCATCCATCAAAAAAAAAACCATCATTCTCATCTATCATACCTCACTTATATGCAGTTACTACTTATAAACAGTAAATATAGTAGTAGGTGGTTATAATTCCATTTTAATCCATTACAATGAATTAGGGCAAATAAATAATAAAATCTCTAAATCTATTTTAAAAATGATTAATTTGATAGTTTCATGAAAGAACTTTTTTATGGGCCATCAATAATTAATAAATAATAAATTTTACTTAAATCTATTATAAATTTAGTTTATATTGGTTCTCAGAATGTAATATTAAACTGAAATTGTAATTATAGAAATATAGAAAATGCAACTTCAATCACTTTATTTTAACAGCAGTATTTATATTTATAGATAATAAGTTGCCTTTACTTCTTTATATTACTAGACTTAACACTCTCAAATACTGTTACAACATTACATTAAACATTAACCAGGACTTTTGGTATTTGTATGTGTAAATAAATATTATTAATTTTATTTAGCATATTTTACAATAATAACCTAGGATATACACAACAATATTGTTTACATTATGTGTGAACAGTCCTCGAGAGATCATCATATTGTGTATCCCATCCTGCTCCTGTAGTCCATGGAGCTCTTAGTTTTAGTCTGGTTTTTGGCATTGCCAGGATTTCAGATATAGTTAGTTATGAACCCTTTTTGTTGGACTGTCTGTTGGCAAATGATTTAACTGGATATAAGATCAATAAAGGATTTCAAAATTTTTGTTAGCTTTTATGCATGAAAAATAGTGTGATTGGAGAGAAGATTTTGGAGATTATGGATTAAACACTTGTATGAATAGATTGATGAATGTACAGGAAGCGAAAGAGGTTTGTCTGAATCTGAACGTTTAATGATAAGGTACTTCATACTATCGAAGATCATTTTTGAAACATTATTCACAGATTAAATTAATAGTTAAAATTTTAAATAAATATACCTATATTAAAATTTGATCCTTAAACAAATTATACATATATATAATTTCAATCTGTGTGTTTGAATTTAATTTTTTTTAATTGCTAGCTACATAAATTTAATAAAGCAAATGTGTCTTTCATATTCTAAAAATGGATGTTTCACCGAAACCAATAAATTTTTCAAGATTCATAATCGAAATTTTAACTGACACATATTTCTTTAATCTGTGTATTTAATTTTAAAATTGGCTAAAATTTTGATGCAAAAAGCTAAATTTGTATTATTTATATATATTATATATAACAAACACTGACTGACTTTCGGTCAATGTCATGGAAATGAAAAAGCAAGCCAATTTCGTTTAAAAGTTTCTTTTTTTTTTTTGTCTATTATTTATAATATAGGTAAGAGATAAACATTGTTCTGTGAAAGAAATTGTCATTGAAAACTAAAAGTCTATTCTGTACCCATTAAAAACACGGGACCGCATCCAAAATACTACGTGCGAACTAAGTTTCATGATGATCGATTGAGTTGTTATGACATGTAGAGGTTATAAACAAATTCATTACCACATTTATAAAATTAATAAGAATATCGTGTGATTGTCATAAAAAAATTAGATGGTTCTTATTGACTACCAACTGATAAGTAACGCTTTATGTTATTTGTACCTGTATTACATATTGTATTAGTATGAAAAGTTTTAGTTCATTTCATATTGAGTTCAATAAACTACTTTTCAGCACTTTTAATGACGAAAAATCTCTGCATAAGTAATCTTTGATATCGCGATATTTTTTAGCGGGTATAGCGAGATATAGCTACGTCCATATGACCCCACGTCTAATAGGAATAAAGCGCCTTAAATAACATTGAAGCACAAGATATTTTCTGGTTGACTTATTTTCATTTAGAAAACTATTGTTTTCTAAATGAAAATAAGTTTCTGTTTAGATATTTCTAAATAGATTTCTAAAATAAAACAAATATTTGTTTATTTTACTGAACTAGGTGTTCTTTTGCAGAAGTCCACTGTTTAGTTGATGAAAATTATTTTTGTTCCGTTATCATTAGTAAGCGTGTGACTGTCAATACTCAAAAATTGAGTACTATTTTTACTACAAGTTCTACAACCTTCCATATTAACCATTAATCTCCTACTGCCATTCCGTCCACGCACCTTTTGTGAAATGTGTTTTATCTCTAAACGAAATGAATGAATAGAATTTGTTTGAAGATACCTCGTTTAGAGCTACTCACACTAAGCTTCGTGTTAATCGTTCGATGCTCAAACTACGAATTTTGGGCGCTGTTTAGGCGCAAAACAAAGTAGTGGTATAAAGTCAGAACCTTAGATAGAGTTGTTTCGCATCGTGGCTAATTCTTGATGAATTTTTTCACCATGCGCCAACTGATCCGACTTTATTTATTATATCATTGGTATATGTATAATTGTATATCAATGTGGCAGACAGGATTATAATTTCATCGGTATTCCATCATCATCTTTATATCTGCTTATATCTCAATTATTAGGGGTAGGCGTAGTATATTCTTATTCATATTATACAGATTTTTCTTTTAATTTTACGCCTGACCGCTTGACTTAGATTTTGTTTGCTATTTTATATTTTATACGAAATTAAGTTATGGAAAGGAACAAAGTGATGATTGTTAAATGTGATATAAATGATAAGTCTCGTGAGATAAGATAAATATCGTGGACTGCACGATAGATAATTTCATTTGCATCTCATAGATTGTTATTTTTTGCTGACTTAGACCTCTCGCGGGTTATCTCGATCCCCAGGAGTTGCTGTTAACTACTTTGTGAATTATTAGTGTACACTATCTGAAATGGAACATTAATTACGAGTAGTTTGAGACTTAGTATCAAAATTACATTAGATTGAACAGCTATTTAACTACGATTACACCATCTAAATAAGCACGTTAACTGCACTGCATACTGAATGATCTAATCACCCCATAAACATGCATGAACGTGCTTTTCAACCTAGTTCAAAAAGTACGTTCTCAATTCTTTTTTTTTTTAATAGTTTTGTTCTCTGTCAGTTATAAACCGATTTGAAAAATTCTTTTTTATCTGAAAGGATATGCTTACAGATTGGTCCTATAGAAATTTTATCTAAATTGGTTTAGTAGTTTAGATTTTAAATCAAAATAACTGATTTTGTCATAATTGGCAAATCACTAATTAAATCTATCTTTTTCTTTTATTCGGATAGGCAGATAGGGATGGGTTTGAGAAAGAAAATTTCGAGTTATGTACAAATGCACATTACGAAATGCGACAGCCTGCAATGATTTGCGATGACAATGGCATGGTATGGCTGGTGGCACGCGGACTCGTTGAGCAGAGCGCTGTAGGTACCGTAGGTGAAACACAACACAACGCACTATGACGAGCGCTGCACGTGCACTGTACACGCGACTGTAGATATCGAGCGCGACCTACTATTGGCTCCTAAGACAACGTCGTTTACGGTCACGTGGAGCGGTTATTTTCCCGAATGCGTATTTAAATATCTTCTATTTATCCAAAATTACTTACTTTTCTTAACTTTTAATGCGGTAATATATTTTAGATGATATAACATTAAATAAAAATATATAATTTTTGTTAAATATCGTATTCGAAAGAAAAATTTGTGAGCAGTTTGTGTACGACTGTTTTTGTGTCGTATAAATAAGTCGAATACCTGTTATATGACAAGTGTTATTAAGTACTACCTTAGGTAATTTCTGTCTTTTATGTATGTGAAAATCTGGATGGACACCTATAAATGTAAGTAAATTTATAACGTTTAATAAAAACATAGACATATGTTAAAAATAATAGAGAAACATTAAAATTTCTAAAATGTTTGGATTTATAAGCGTACATCATATCCACTAGCTGGCAGTAATTGCACATTTTTCAATTTTTGACCATTTTTCAGTTTTAATCGATTTCAAAACAAAGTAGTTGCCAGTTCATCCGTAGATATATTTTTTGTAGGTATAGTGGTAGGACTGCTTGACTTGGACTCTTATACACACACTATGTATTAAAGAAAAATTTTGTAAAAAATGAAATAAAAAAAAAAAAAACTCGGTAAAGTTTTCTAGAACAATTGAATAATTTTTAACATTTCTCATTTATTTATTTAAAAAGTGCTCTTATTTATAGTAATAATAACTAAAATCTTAATGTAAAAATAAAAGCTTGATTCTATTAAACCACTACAAAACAAGATATCAAAAAATAAAATGGGTACCAAAATAACCCAGGAGTTAGTTACGTTAATACTTCCTCATGCGTTTTACCATTTTTAATTAAATAACACGAGGTCGAAGTTTTCATTCTTTTTGAGTATAAATGAGTATAAAATACGACTCGAAAGTTTATTCTTATTAAACTCGTGCAGGCTTAAATTAACTGAATCCCTTTAAGTTGAACTTTACCGACATTTATAGCCCAGGAATGCCTTTACAAACTTGATGCTTATATAGAATTTAAAACAATTGAAAACAAATAAGACTTTTTAGCAGTTGTAAACTTTTAAATAATATCGTTATTTAAAAGTTTACAACTGCTGTATTTTTATACATCGCTATAATTATATACGATCCTAAGGCGTAAAATTATATACGGAAATATGCTTTTATGTTATTGGCTCGGCTGGAAAAGGCAAACATATAAGGCAGTAAATCCTGCTTCTGTACTCATTTTATCTTAGACTAGCGGCCCGTTCCGGCTTCGCACGGGTGGACATTTTTACAACATTTTCAAAAGTACTTATTGTGACATAACGATAATAGTCGGACATATAGTATTGCGAAGTTTTTTGTAGGTATTGATATTTTCTTCAATATTGTAGAATATACTTTTGTTCTATCACCAATAGTTTCCGCAGCGCATGTGATGAAAGATATTTTATAGCATTTTTTTACACCTCGACTTACGTTACTAAAGTTTTAGTAAGGATCCCTAATCTTTTGTAGCAATAAATATAGCCTATGTTATTCAGGGTGAATGTAGCTTTTTAATGGTGAAAGAATTTTTGATATCAGCAAAGTAATTTTTGAGTTTATTCATTATAAACTTACATACACACAAAAATACAAGTATTTCCTTTTTATAATATTAGTGTAGATTATACATGTATAGACCTACTATACGATCGATTATCAAATACAAATAAAAAACGAATACAAATTCAGTCAGCCAAAGTGACGTTTGGTTGACTGAAAATTATTACATATTAAATTTGACATATTTTTAAACCAAAACGAAAGCGCGTCATTTTGCAGTGTTGCAAGTAATTAAATTAAAATAGTACAAATTGTTTTTTTTTTATTAGAAAATAAAAGTTAGGTATGACTTTTTTAATATACCTAAATGTAAATATACATATAATGATACTATATACAAGTTATTATATAATATAAAAGTGGCCACGCTTCGCACGATTGCTGGCCAAGCTGTACCACTCTTTGAGGAAGCGGTCTCCGTCGCTTATGAGGTCTCCCGCGACTCCGTTTTTGTTTTTATCTGTTGTTATTTTAGTTGATATTCGGGAATGGCCTATTCTAGCCGTGTGGTCCTGGCATCGAATAATATAAAAGCCAAAGCTTAACTGCGGTTGCCATTCCGCCTGCCAAGCTTGGCAATTACTGGCAAAACCCCCCAAGGGGGAGGCTTATGTTCAGCAGTGGACAGTTAAAGGCTGATATGATAATGATCATGATCATCTATCAAAATATTCAAAATTCATTTATCATTGATTACTTTAGTCCATTCTGTTTAGTGTAACGGTTGACTTCTAGAGAAACGTCACGCATTAAGTCTGCCTTGTATACATACTTACATATTTTTTCATATGCAAAAGAATAAATATTTTAAGTGTATTTGTTCTTATTTATTTTTTTATCCATTAGAACATGTATGTGTACATAGGCTTAGCGCTAAAAGCATTCTCCCAGGTAACCGTAGGGAAGTATTAGAATACTAATAATATGTTTTATGAATCATTATGTTCTGTTTATCTCGTTCAATAAGATATATACTTAAGAATTTTTTCTACTTAATAATTCTTCCACTTTTGATTATAATATTTTTTCATATTTATGTATTATGCAAGTTAAAGGAAGTACTAGGTATCATGTCGTATAAGTTGAAAGAAAATGCATGAATTAGCTGATAAATGGAGACTCTTAAATAAAAAAATGAATAAAAAATTTAACCTGTTTCTTATTACACGACTGTTTTGTACACGAGTTCATGTGCTTATGTATGTTTGAATAGATTTAGATGTATGTATGTGGTTTCGTTGGATCCTTATTCGTTTGTATGGAGACATTTCATCTACAAATTTATAATTTAATAGAATAATTATGGTAATTATAAATATAATATATATAACTTATACTAGTTCCTTTGCATGCTATATAACTAAACTAATATAATATAATAACATAATAATAAAATGTAAAACTAAATGTCTAAATATTTATATGTATGTTGGACACATATATATGTACTACATGTAGGTACATGCTTTTTCTTGTTTAATTAACAGTTTTATTTATTCTACTGGAACGCTAGCGCCTCTGCCTTGAGGAGGTGGGCGTTGACAGCCACGACACAGTTATTTTTAACTAATGTGGCTGTTATCGTACACTACCCTACAATTGTAATTTTTTTATGGTTCCAATAAATACATTTTTAATTTAAATTTTTTTTAATTTAATTTAATTGCTGTCAGTATGCTGTTAAAGTGTTATGTTTCTCAAATCAAAGATTGATTTAATTATTGTATTGTAATTTTCACGCATATAAAGCAGTATGCCCAATATAGAAATAGGTAAAACGATGGTACCTACAGTTGAGTTATACAAAACTTTACCAGTATATCACTATGATAGTATACACATTGATACAGTGACCCATAGCTGACCCGATAGACGTTCTGTCAAAAGCTATTGGACTATAGCAGTTCGTGTACGAAATGTTTGAAATGGAAACTAGGTACAGTTTGTATGAGAAAAAGAAAAACTGTATTTTTACCTTTCTTTGGGCAATTCAAAACCTTTCTTGGACTTCAACGAATATTTGAAAATAAAATACCCGAATTCATCCATGTCGTTTATATTCATATAAATCTAGATAGATGGATACGTTTTCTCTATTTATAAACAATATTATATATATGCGTACCTACTAGGCAATGGAATTACGTAACTTTTTTTTCATACGAATAATAATACATATGTAACTGCTAAGTAATATAAAAGGGTATACCAGCCATGAGTTGGGTTACTGGGCTCTTTAAAATGTAGTTAAATGTAATAATGACTAACTTACTCATCATACTCGTAAACAGATAGTACTAGTAGAAACTGGTCTGCTTTTATCATCACTACGACTAATTTATTTAGTTACTGAGCTTTAATTATTAAACATACAGTTACAGCTATTAATTTTTATGTTATTTGGTAGTTGTAAACTTTTGTTTGAAATAAGCAACAGTTGTGTTTCTTGTTTATGCTTCTTAGCTGAAACTGCTTTTCGAATTGGACAGTAGAAGTATTATATTATAAAACAATATTCACTATTAAAATTGCTTGTAATTCAGTTTACTTGAATAAAAAATATTTTTATTTTATGCAATTTAAGTTGTATTTTATAGATAACCAGCTTTTACGCACGATTTCGTCCGTGTGACCGGAATATATTTATTGATCGGGATATCTTATATATTACGTGTATACCAAATTTTATTGTGCTCGGTAAAGCTGTTAAGGCGCTATAAGGTGGTAACAAACGAACTCACTTTCATAATTATAATATTAATAAGAATGTTTAGAAGCGAACTTTCTATGTTTAAAGTTTCAGCGATTTTGATTTTACACTGTAATCTCGACCAATCGCACAATTACGATTTATTTTTATATATTTAACGACTAGGGTTTGCAATTTTGTATCCCGTATTATCGCATTCCATCAACTTTCCGAATGTCGATGGAGTTCGCGGAATTACCGTTTACATATATGTATATGCAAACAATAATTACCTAATTCGATAAAGGGCATTTCTACGAAATCGGTCAGGTGTTTATTATAAAACCTTTTTTGCATAGTTCACTACAATCATAATTGTCGGTACTTAGTAAACATATTCAAAAAATATATTTGGATTAAATTATTTTACTTTGTTTTTGCATACTATTATAGTAATAGACATTGCATGTATTCATAGAAGCATTTTGTTAACATGCATATTTTAAATTTCAGATAGAAGATGGAATGGGTTCTGCGAAGTCCCCAAATTCATAGCACATTCAGCAACCTCGGTTTTGTACACGGAGATGGATATCACATAAATGAAAATTGCAATGGTAAGGAAATAATTAATATATTTAATATCCAAAAGCAATTTTTATATATAGTTTACTTTTTTTTTTGCTATTTACCTGTTTTAAACTGAGGTTTTAAAAATTTATTGACAGCTGCCTTGGAAGCCATTCTTCACAACATTTTAACGGAAGATAAATATTTACGAACATACCGTAGAAGTATTAGTTTTGGAGAAAATATAAAGAAAGACCTAATACCGCTTTTAATACACGCCAAGGAAGATTCAACAATAGAGTTCATAGTTAAAATATTAGTTAATTTGACAATTCCGGTTGAGTGTTTGCTTTCTATTGACGCTCTAATACAAAATGATTTTGGACGTCATACAGTGTTTGAGATAAATAATCTACTTTTGTCTACTAAATCAGCTTTTACTGACAATAGGACAACCAGAGTTATAATAGACTTTATGAAGAAAAATGTAGATGTAGATCAGAAAACAAAATTGTCGACAGAACAGTGTACAAACATAAGTAATTGTCTTCTATTGCTGAGGAATATTCTTCATATACCAGAGGACAATAGTAATCAGAGTCCTAGTTACAATGGCTCTAACCATTCGGTGCAAAATCAAATTTTATGGAATTTATTTAGTCAGAGTATTGATAAAATTCTTATTAAGTTGATGACTTTGCCTGATGCGGTAAGATATTTTTTAATTACGTCTGTTCATTAAATTTGTGCAATAAGTTCAGTCATCACAAACACATTAGTGAGTACTAATTTATATTATTCAATACTCATTTGTTTTATTTCGGTAATTAATAAATTACTACTTATGTATCAAAATAATTCGTTTTAGCCCAGGCCCATTTTAAGAGTCAAGATGTGTGTTTTGTATTTGTTTCCTTTACAGACTCATTGGGGGGTTACAATGGTTCAGTTAATAGCACTGCTTTATAAGGATCAGCATGTCATTACGTTACATAAATTGTTAAATTTATGGCTAGAAGCATCTTTGTCAGATAGCTCGGAAGATAATGAAAGTAACACCTCTCCACCAGACCGAGGTAAATTTTTACTAATTATTTATAGTTTAATTGTATACTTACAGTGATTTAGGTTGTTAATTTGATTTTATGAACAACTTTATATGCTTGGTTTATATGTTATACTATAATGATGATGATTAAAAACATTGTATAAGTGATATTAGGCATTAGGATAATAGTTTCGTATAAATTATCAACAGTACTTTCAAATTAAAGTCACTTTGTTAGTGAATCGTAGGAAGAGTAATAGTGGACTATCCTTGCGATATTTTTTATGATTCCATACATATTTTTAAATTTATTATTTGTAGGTAGTGACGATTCATCTCCGATGTTAACATCGGATCCAACTTCAGACTCATCAGACACGGGAGGGAGCGGGAAATGTAACGATGAACCTAACTCTGTGAATAATGGATGGGATGCTTCCTCTATGAAAAATACCAGTGAGAATGGTAATCAATCATACCAAAAGTCGACTGCTGATGAGAAGAAAGCTAAAGACGAGGATATGAGAGACTCGGTAGTAACTAAATCCGAACACTCTCAGGAACCAGATAACGTAATAAATATACTTAATGATGGATATGTACATATTAATAGACACGATTATTTAGAAAACGAAGGATATGCTGCTAGTTCTAAATATTTCCTTTTAACGTATCGAATAATAATATTAATATGTTAATATTTTATATTAATACTTAATTAATATTTTAACATAATATGTTTTAAATGTAAGACATTCTTAATAATTAGTAGTAACAGTACTGTAGTATTATTCTGCGGTTTATACATATATGTGTCTTTATCTCTTACCCATAATGCTCTTTTTTGGCAATGGATTGGTGTGTATTTAAAAATTTTAACTAATCCTTATATTTTCATTTGTATTTCCATTATATATTAGTTTTTTTATATATTACCCGCTACTTCATACGCGTCGATTTCAGAAGTATGAAAACCAATAAAATAGACTACTTCTAGATGGTTGTTGATGATGTATTAAGATAAAACATACACCAGATTTTAAGTTACTCCTTTAGGAACACAACCAATCGCATCGCATCCAATTTGGTGCAGTAGTTTTTCGCAATATCTAAAGAAACAGACAGACAAATTGTCTGAAAATTATTGTTATGGCTCTATTGGTGTTAATAAGACCCTCATATTAATTTTCTTAAATATCTCCCCATCATCTAGTTACAATGTCATTATATTCGTAAGATATGTATGTTATTATTATAGAGTGAATCAACGTCATGTAGTGAAAAAGTCAATCAGAAAGATTGTGAAAAAAGTGACCAAAAAGAATTATACAAAAATGAAAAAAAGACAGTTATATCAGAAAACTCAGATTGCGGTTACGGGACTCAGATGGAAAATCAAGGCTCTATTTCTACGTCTAGCAATGAAGATGAACCTGCAAAGAAGCCCGTACATCAGAAACCTCACAATACAAAACAGAGGTCAAACAATAAAGCTCGATCCAGCACAAACTTGCAAGACAGAAAACGGAAAAAGCTCGTTAAACGGGGAAAAGCAAATATGTGAGTTTTTTTTAAATATTTGTATTTGTAATCAATATTTATAACGTAGTAAAAAAAGTATAATGATTTATTGGAATATGAATACAGGTTTATAGATCACTTTAATTTTTTTTCTACTCATAACTAACTATATATTTTTAAATACTTAAAGAAAAAATATAGAAAGTAAATGGTAAGTAACACCTTTTTTTTCAGTATTAACGTTCAAGGATTATCACACAAAACACCGACGGACGATGATATTTCCAATATAATGAAAGAGTTTACTGTCGACTTTCTTTTGAAAGGATATAATTCTCTTGTACAGACTCTTCACAGTCAGATTATTACAAATATGCAGTTGGAGATTGATACTTCTCACTTCTTTTGGCTCGTTACCTATTTCTTGAAGTTTGCAACGCAAATAGAATTAGATCTGGAACATATTTGTTCGGTGCTCTCTTATGACATAGTATCGTATCTAACCGCTGAAGGAGTAAATTTATGCGAGCAGTTTGAACTGTCTATAAAATTAGACGGAAACGATTTGAAACCAAGTATTAGAAGATTACATCTTGTAAGTAGACACGATATTCTTTATTAAATTATCCTATAAGATTGTAGAAAGTATGCGTTTTATCAATAACATGGCCAATTTGTGTGCCATAAGTTTTATTCTAAATTTATTCATACGTATAATTGAAAAGAAAACAAATACGCCGAGTGTCGTTGTTTACTACGACTAATAACTTGTCTCTACATGCGGATATAGGAAATATTTTTAAAGATTTATACATTTGTATAATATATAGACTAATTTCAAACTCAATAGGAGCCCTTATTCATGAGCGCGGTTCAAGGCTGGTGCTTCGAAACTAGGCGAGCATCCCAGAATTTAAAATAAGACTAAACCCGACATAAATATTACAATATTTGTAAAATATTACTGTAATAGTAGACCCGCTATATGTGTCATTACAATTACGAGTGCTCTTGAAAAGAGTACTAGATTAAGATGTAGAATTGTTTTGTATTTATTGGTATCTGGTTTTGGAATTTACAGGATGGCCTATAATGCCGTTGTTTTACACGTTATTATTGTTAAAAAATATTCATTTCTTGTTTTTAATAAATTATAAAAAAAAAAAACATTGATTACATTGCATAATATCACTTAAAGTTCTAATGGAAAAAATGTGTATTAATAATCGGATTGACTTAACGTGTATTTTTGTTCGGAATGCTCGACTAATTCCGGGATCATCCGGGTACCTTAATTGTGAATGGCAATGCCGTAAACCTGACTGCGTGCTTCGGCACGCATTGTAGGATTTTTTCATTTGAAATAAAATGTAATGTGTACTTATGAAACCTAACAATAAAATTTGTTTTATTGTTGGTTGTACAACAATATTCCTTTAATTCCCAACATGTAGATTATCTAATAATGTAATATTTTATAAGGTGGTCACAGCGATCCGAGAATTTGTCCAAGCCATAGAGGTATATAAAAAAATCGCTCATGTGTGCAAAGAGGATCAGGAGGCGTTGTTGAAATTACAAATGAAAATGTGCGAAACTGAAGATCTACGCTGTTTATTGGTTTTGCTGTTACGCCATTATGATCCCAAGTACCATACCAAGCAATATTTACAGGTATTTATACTAAAACAGTAGATATATTGCACAGTGAAATATAGTGAATCATGATAACTATGTATATTTTAAAGTTGTATATACAAAAAGGAATCGAAAAATATGATATACCGATTCATGTTTTTAATATCATTTTTGTGATAATACATAAAAATGTCTTGGTGTTGTACTTTTAAGGTATATTTGTTGAATATTGTATTGAGATATCAAAGAAAAATAGAAGTAACATTTTAAATTTGCGTCTTGTCTATTTATTGACAAATATTTATATTAACAAATGTGTATATTTATATTAACAATTTGTGAGTTCCCTCTCGTGTTATAAGACATTTATGTGTGAATATCGTTTTTTTAGGACCTCATAGTAACAAATCACATATTACTGATGTTTTTGGACAGTGTAATGAAATTACCGGACTACAGTGGATCTACTTATATGTTGGATCATATAAAACAGTATGTTTAAATTTTATAATTGTTACATTTAATGTTAGAGTTTGGGTAATTTCTATAGATTTAGTATAACGTACTATGTACTAAGTAATTTCTATTTGCCATTTGTTACGAGCCATTAAGTTCCCTTACTACAGTCGCCTCATTCGACACGCACAGGAAGCTGCAGCGTTCCTTTTAAAACAACACCAAAGCCTTACTGCGGTTGTCAATCCGTCTGCCAAGCATGGCAATTCCTAGCTAAAGCTCACTTATGGGGGAGGCGTATGTTCAGCAGTGGATAGTTAACGACTGATGTGAAGTGTGTGCTCTGTTACACGTTCGCTCGGGAAGTTGCTGAGGTCTATGGAAAATTGTATGGCTGTTGTAGAAATGTATTAAGGGGATCTTTTAAAAGTTATGCGACCGTAGTTTTTTTTAAAGGATAAACGTGGAATGGTAACCCTGCTTGCGCTATCGGTCTACGCTAGCGGGATGTCAATCAATGAGAGATGGTGGGACTGTTAGACCCCATTACTAACAATATTTTTTCCCCCAGTTAGTACCTTAAGTGGCAGTTAGAAATTTGATAGCAGGTCTGTTTGTGTAATTGTTGTTTTCTATTTGACAGGTTTGCGACACCAGAAATAATGTATCAGTATGGACTTCTTTTGGAAGATTACGCTGGTAATGGAGAATTCGTCAACGATTGTATTTTCACGTTAATGCATCATGTTGGAGGGGAACTGGATTGTTTGATTACATTGTTCCAACCAAAAATCTTGAAGACGTTCACCTCTATATGGAAATCGGAATTTGAAATTTGTGATGTAAATATTTCTATTTACCGTGTTTACTAACAAACTAATGATTGAGTATAGTAAAAATGACTATTATATGACCTCAGTTATATTTCAATAATATGTTTTCACTCCTCTGTACTGTGCGAGTTATTTGCTGTTTTTTTTTAGGATTGGTCTGATCTCATTGAATATGTAATAAATACGTTCATAAAGAAACCACATGCGTTGCAAAGCACTACTAACTTTAGATTGGACACGGAAAATTTCGACGAGGATAATTTTTTTGTCAAACCCCTCACACCTTCCAAACCAACGAAACATAGATCTGATGCAGATTCTAGAAAAAGATCTGATGATATATCAGGAAGCACATCTCGGGAGAGGTAGTATATTGTTATGTTACAGGATTATTAACCTAGAATTCTATAATGATGTATGAATATTTTATTGCATAGCATTTTGCATAATTAGTACTAACGTCTTACCTGTTTTGGTTTAAAGGAAGAAATTCATTGTTCTGTAGATATTGTCGTTTTTATTTAATAAGTTAATTTCATAAAAAATTACAAGAAAAAGATAACCAATTTGTTTCAACATATTCAGAATTTTTTTTCTTATAACATGAAAGATGTTCGTGGAATAATTTTTGAAGTAAAAGTAAAAAATGTTTGCACTTGCATATTAATAATCTATTTTAAAAAAAAATTATTTATGTTATCTAAATTAAATGAACAGCCATCTTGTTGATTCCTATGTAAGTATTAAGAATAAATATGGTATTATGGTAGTATATTTGTAGAGAATTATAATACCATCTTTTATCAGTATAAATTATAGTTAATTGGTATGTACTTTTACTTTGTTATTGACATCAAATAAAATACTCAAAAAGTAATTAACACCAAATGAGATTAGTAACTACATTACTCTAAAATCCCAAATTTACAAACAATATAATGATAAGTCGTGTATGACATTTATATGGTGACAGAAAAGTTTACAGTTTGTCACCACTCTTATCTCAATGATGAACAAGGTTAGTATAGGGCCCTATAGCAATGAACAGAATATAGTATAATACAAAAATGCAAGTGAAGGTAAAGTAATAAAACTTAGTAGCAAATCGTCTGACCCGCGTGGTAGTAATGGGTTATATCCTCTTCGTATGGGGAGAGGCTCTTGTTTAGTAGTGGTACGTTGATGTGTTGTTATTAACTTTAATAATTTTGACTTGATGAATTGTGGCAACGTGTAATTATATGTCAATTGTCTAAAACAATTTCATAATTTTTAATGTCTGATAAATTATTTAAAAAATGCAAAGCAAAGTAAAACGTTATTTATAGAAAATGTTACGTGCTTATAAATCTGTATTATTAAAACTTTTTACCTATTTCATTTGTTTTGTTCCTGTCGCATTTTGCTTTGAATTTTTTGCTATCTAAATCAGAATTTTCAGCAACAGTTTAATAAGTATATTATAGTATGATTAACGTTTTAGTTCGTTATCAGAGGACTTTTTAAATAATTAATCTGAAACATTGAAAATTATGAAATTGTATTTGAAGTTTGATAGATAATTGTGAGGTGGCTACTGTCAAGACGTAGATTGTTCCCTGTTCAATGTATTTTTACTGCTTTGGTATTATCTATTTAAATAAGGTTTCTATATCATCTAAAATTCTTCAAAATAAATTAGTTAATATTCCATTCTATAGTTACAAATGGACTGAAGAAGAGTTATCTTCATTGAGCTGGAATTACATGCAATGTAGTGCATTACCTGATGTCATCGGCGAAATAATAAAACTATACAAAGAGGACGATGCAATAAAATCTAGGGAGTCGGTAATTAGAGAATTACATAAACAAAATTTAATATCCAAAGATGAGTGTGATAATTTCTTAAATAAGGAGAATAATAGAGGTGTAAAGGTTGTCCCAGTGCATAAAGAAATGAGAGAAGATGAGATCGGTAAACTTTGCGATCAATTATCGCAAGATGGTAAATCTAAATTCTTAGATTGGGTACAAAAAGTACTTTTGGATACTTGCTACGCAAAAATATACGTTGAGAAAAAAGAAAAGATGCATCAAAATGAAACGCATAGCAACAAATCTGACAAATTATTAAACTTTGAGTTATTTAAAAAGAAATCGGATGATTTACCTGTTATGTCGCCAGTGTCGTACCATTCGATATGTAAGTATTAATTATTTTAGTCAAATTGTCATTGCCAAAAGAAAAAGATTCTCAGTTTGTCTGTGCACTGAGCTCGTTTGTTATGTATTTTGTGACTATGTTACATGATTATTTTATCGTCATATAAATTTTGCGAAGATCGATGTTATCATTTTTCTGTGTGAAATAAACATAATTATATTGTGTGCTTAAATTATGTCTAAAAATATTATTTATTCTATGCAATGTGCAGTAAATTTTTAAACACAAAGTATCTACATAGATATAACATAAATAGGTAATATAAATACAAGTTTTTTTTTTTTTATTTCAGTATTCAATCAATCCGTGCCGTTAGTTCCATGGAATTGCGAGCAGGCGTCCATTTGCAAGGACTTGAAGTTTTTACAGTTGCTTCATAAACTAGGTTTCCATATGCCTGTTGATTCCGGAAAAGTGTTTATCAGAATACCGCACTTTTGGACTGCTGATTTTTTATATGACGTTGCTGCGAAAATTTCTCCGATTGATAACAGTAAGTTCATATTAAAATCTTCGCTTTTCCTATGTAGGTTTAAGTATTACGTGTTACAATTTGGATTGGGGGGTTTTGTAAAATATTACGATGCATTACAGGGGCGGGAGAGGGCTTCGAACGCGTTACGTAACATTTTTTTTTTATTCAACTAATAAGACTAGGGAATTAAAATCTCCCCTGTTCACAACCGCTTTCGTTTACGTTTTACGGTGTATCCCTCGACTATGTTATACGTCATATTTGTTTTGTTTTCGTTGTCAGTATTCGTTTTAAGTAAAAATGTTCACTTGAGTATTACGTAACGTTTAGGGAGGGGAAGGAGAGTGGGTAGAGAAAAATATTACTGCGCATTACTTGAGAGAGAGAGTAAAAATATTCAAAATTTGCGTAACATAGTACTTGAACGTTTCCTAAGAAATCAGTAACGCAGTGTAAGGAGTCTTCGTACAGCGTTTTTTAATGGATGATAATGGGATGGTAACCTTTAGCGTTTTAGTGTTATAGTGGTATACGCTGGCGGAACACCAGTGAGGGAAGATAGGTTAGAATGAAAAGATAGGTCAGTTAGCCTATCGTGATGAATTTACTTGGAATAAAACACGATGGCTTCAAGGGGGGACCGCGAGGAGGTCGGCTTAGTAGGGTGTATAGTATAAGGTGCTAGCAATGGGGCTACTAACTAATCCCTATTATTAACAATCTTTCTCCCCCTCATACAGTGATTTATAGCCCATGGAAATCTGTTTATTCTACTAACTTTATAGTAGCTATAGTATAATAGATTATAGATATTAAATGACCTTAATTTCCTTACCTACGAATGAAAAAATTATATGTCTATAACATAACTTGTTTTCCTTTTTACAGCTAAATTAAATTTCTCATTGAACGATATAATGGAAAGCAGTAGTATTGAAGCAGTGCAGCAAAACAGTTCCATAATATCCGATCTCACAAAAGATGTTACTATGGTTAAAACGCCTGATAATTTCTTTCAAATACACAAACAAAAACATCTAGCTACTATGGTTAATTTCACTCCAATGTAAGGATTATTTTTAATAATACTTTTTTAATGTTTTACAGGCTATTTTGTTTTATCTATAAATTAAAAATATGTAATTTTTTTACAGGCCTGGTTCTTCGTTCAATATAGAGAATGAAGAAGGTAACAAACATAATTGGTTGGAAGTTATACAAAAGTCTCAAGATTATAAAATAACTTTGAATTTGGAAAAGTATGAAACTCTTATTTTATTAATAATAATTTAGTGTAGGTAATTAATAAGTTTGCCGTGTGGTCTCGGTATAAAATCGGCCACCTCTTCATTTCCCGTGGGTGTCGTAAAGTACAATTAAGGAAACTTAATGGTAAAGGGATCGGCAGCAGGTCTTTATACATCACCAAAGCCCAACTGCGTTTGCCAATTTGTCCGCCAAGAGGAGCAACTACTGCCCCTCATGGGGGAAACCTATATTCATCAGTGGACAGTTAACAGCTGATATGATAATGAATTAATAAGTTAAATCCTTCAATTTTTTAAAACAGGGGAGAGAGAAAGTTGCGGATTTGTTTTTTTAGTTTATGCCATTATTGAGAGTATTTTTTCTATGGTTTTAGTAGTTTATCTCGCTCGCAACATAATATAACGCACACAGTATAAGTTATTATACTTTTATTGAGTTGTTATTATTTATAGATAGATTATTCTAATTTAGACCATAGATATAGGAAGATTATTTTCGTAAATGTAGGTATGTTAATGTTTTGTTCTTATTATTTCGACATACCTATTGTTAGTTAAAATGAAATATTGTTTTTAAGAAATTACGTAAAAATTGACAAATTATCATAAAATTTAAATCGATTTATATGAATAATTTTACATTGAGAAGGGCATAGGCTGGTCACGCGGACAAAGTTGCAGACACATCTAGCCCGTTATAGAAATACCCTTATTCATATAAATTAAAACTTAAAAATAATTTTCTACTACTAGTGTTTTGTCATTTTCTTTAATATTGAGAAATTAGTGCATAAGAAAAAAATAACAATAGATAAGTTTTGAACTTTTAATCTTTTTATGAATAAAGGGTTAAATTATAAAATTATGATATTTTGTCTATATTTTTACTAATCTCGTCATTATCATTTCAGTCATATTATAAAAACAGAAGATATCCATTTGGATGTTGAGATGCAATTACCGCCGAAGGAAATAAGTTCCGCGTCGCCGTTAAAACTCGTTACTACACCAGTAATTGCAGATACCGTGTCGCCCTCTCTCGTTTTGCCCACTGTTATGAGCGCAAAGCAAGAAAGTTCAAGTTTCAATTTACATTTAGCAGATACTGAATATTACAATAACAGGTGATAAATAATTCAAATGTTTATTTTAAGCAAAATTATTTAATAATATTGAGCCGTTTCAGTCATAACTAGTAAACATGTACAGATCAGTCAGTGTAAGCAGTATCCGTTCACGAAGTATGACGGATGTGCTACCTATCATTACGGTAAACAATATTTCAGGGAAGTTGACGGCTCTACACACCACGCTGCCCCTTGTCAAGACATTATAATGAGCATGACTTGCGTCATGTAACTTGATTACGTCACAAGAATAATTACACTAATACACTATGTGATAATCAAAATATACATCCATTATAAAATACAATTGTCGTATATATTCAGATATAGTATAAAAATATTAATGTATATTTTTATAAAAAGTATTCGTTAAAAAAATACATAATATAATGTTAGTTTTAAATACGGTAACAATTTTAGTTTGATCATACATTTTTGTCATTGTCTATCCTGTAATATTTACTGAAGATTAAGTCCAGGATAGATTAAGTAGTATATTTTTATGTGCAATAAATCTTTATTATTATTATAAAAAAATACTTATAATTTACATTAAAAAAACATAGAATATACAATATTCTATGTTTTTTTTAATGAAATAAAATGTTTTTTAAATGAATAAAAACCTTATAAGATTTCTTAATTTAGTAATTTGTACCTTTTGTGTAAACTTTTATTTTGTATTCATATTGTTTTTTCTTACATACATAATATATATATAATTTATTATATTGTATTGAATGGAAACTATTATATTAGTAATATTACTAGATAGACTGTGTTCTATTTGTGAGAGAGGTTAAGATTCTACAGTACCGGCGTTCATACTTGTGACGAGTTATTATAACTCGTAAATTGTATAAAGTATAGAGGTATTTGACACTGTTTTATCTGTTTACCTTATAAGGGGTTTAGTGTGGAGACAGATAATGTAAAGTTACTATTATTTGTTCACGTATTAGTTATTTTCTCAAAGTAACGTTTTGTTTTTGCAGTGTGTGTGAGACTGCATCCGTTGCTTCTGATTTAACTCGGATGTATGTATCCGACGAAGACGAAAAGCCAGAACTCCTATTACGTCCAGTGGTGGATGTGAATCCGTTGTTAGATGACCGATTTTCTAGTGATTGTGATAATGCTAGTGCTGAGAAACGGCCTCGAGTACATTTTTCTTCAATGTTTTAAGACAGTTATTTTTAGCTGCGTTTTATTATTTCGTTATTAACTATTGTTAAGTGTATCACTAAATTAGTGGTAATTATTTCGAATTACGTATCTTCTAAATGTAAAATTTATTTTCATTTGTATCTAGTTTTGCTGTTTTTAGTACGTAATGAGAAAACTTTAAATTATTTTTAAAGAATTCGAATATTTATAAATGTTGTTCTGTGTATTTGAATTACTTTGATGTGACTGTGAAGAAGCGATTCATCAGATTATATCTATCTCATTATTTTTAAACTTATTTTTATGGAAAGACATAAATATATTTTATTGTGTACTTATCTGTATTGGAATGTTAATTACACATTATATGTTAAACCTATTTACTACGATTTTTATATAAGGTTTTGATGTTATGTAATAAGTAAATAGATTTTATAAATGGGGTATTATAATTTATTTTCAATTCATAATATATTAACTACACATCTAGCAACAAAAATATAACAAAATAACAATGTACGTGAAACAACAAGTAGTCAAGGTACGTACATGAAATCATTTCAAACATCAGATACATACATAAATAGCTACAAAACAATCATGCTTGACATACACACAAATTTAATGGTAATTATGATCATTTGATCCTCCATTGTAACCACTCAATTGATTTTTATTGAAGTAATCTTTAATTGCTGAATCGTAGCTTTTGGATTCAAAGTCATTTCCATTGCCAGAATTACCATAATAACTTGAAGGATCATCATAGGAACCACCAGATGACCCTTCAGAAGAATAATCATGCCCTAAATTTTGACCATGGCCTGAATTATATCCGCTATACGATTGACTGTCCGGTCCAAAAGAGTGTCCGCCGGATGAAGATTCGTGTGTCGGAATATCCTGCACATGGTATGAGTTTTGTGGATCACTTATTTGATGCGTACTCTGAAAGCCGCCGTATCCACCATCAGTCGCTCCTTGTTCATCGCCAGATTTAGTAGACACAATGTGTGGCACCTTGATGATTTGAGGCACTGGAACCGGGTATGGTTTCGCGACTGGTACAGGATATGGTACCTTTTCACGCACTTTCACTGGGTATGGCACTGGGATCTTGACTGCGATAGTTTTAGTAATTTTTATCACCTTCACTGGTGTTTCAGGTATTTCAACGTGTTGACCCAAGTTTTGTAGCTCTGTTTCGTATCCTTCTACAGGTATGGTATGAGAATGGTGGGATGCATAACTATTACATACATAGCATAATAATACCATTAATATCTGGAACAAAATAAAAAAATATGTTTAATAATAAATTCGCTCTTGTTTCTCTATGGCAAAGCGATAGGCACAATTGGCAGTGCCTTCGATGATACCGACTCAATTTAACACCGTTTAATTTATTTATCCAGTTTTACTAAAGTTATGGTTATTTCTAGAAAACTTTCATACAAATATGTGAATTCAAACCCATTTATGCCTAGTTCATTACCAAAGTATGTACTTCTGTAATAGTATTGTATCATAATTACTAAAAATACTATTTCTTAATCAAATATCAATTATTAGGTAAACTACTTTGTATGACATAATGTAACAAACCGGATGACATAAGATGTTATATAATTATTAGCAATTTCCGTATGCCGGGCAAACAAAAATAAAATTGTCGACAGGTGGTGCAACAATGTAGAATGAGAGCAATCGAGATTTTTACTAACCGGTATATCCATTATGTCGCGGGTGAGTGTACGTCCACAGGGCACTGAAAAAACTATCGAGCGATAAGTGTTTTGAGTTGCTTATATATGGCACATTCTCTTTACGCCAAGAGACGGGCTACGACCCGGCCGTTTACTTTCTTCATTCAGCAGTCACTTTGCAAGCTTAGTGCCACTGTAGACGAAGTTCAATCATATCTATTTCTTGCTTACTCTTTGAACTTCGTTGTTTTTAAGGAAAAAATATTGTTTATACCTTAATGTTTAGTAGTTATAAATAAATTGTGAATTAAAAAAATGAAAAAAAAAATGGTGTTAATATTTATTAATTTGAATATTATATTTTTTTATGTAACAAACAATTATTTTCTGAAGGACCAGAAAATAACTGGCTATTCTTACCATTTATTTGTACATGCATACTTGGTATTTTAGTTTGCAATCGTATAAGAGAATCATGATTATAGTAATTCATCTGAACAGTGCTGCATTTATCTATGTCGAAAAAATTTAGGAATAGTGTAATATTTAGTTTTTATTGGTGGCTCTTACATATTTTTAGTTTATTTGTTGTTCTTAATACTCCACATTTATATCGATATATACTGGGCACGTGGACGAAGCCAAGGGTAAAAGTTATGTAGTTTGAAATTAGAACCTAAATATTGTGTATACCAATTTAGGTTTTAGCTTCAATCTACTATTATTATATTATTAATATTGCTAATTATTACCCAATAATGAGCAATGATGGTGAAAGTACTGCAATTTAATGATTTTGTTACATATACGGGAAGAAATGATAGTTATATGTTTTATTTTTATTAAGATGATGATAATTTAATATTTTCTTCTCAATGAAGAAACATCAACAAAATTAGTAAATAAACAATTTTTTTTGTTTCCGATGGTAGTAATAGTATAGTCACTATAAAATTAATCATTAGTACTCGTTTCTGAGTCAGTTCAAGAATCACGTAAGATATACAAAACAATCCTTGAAATGAGAACTTTCTCTTTTTTGGATTTCCTTGAAAATTCAATATAGGCTGGAGTTTGATTTAAGATCTCCGAAGCGCAGTCAACCCCTAATGACTGAGCTGTCACCGACCCACAGAACAATATGAAACTGCAATGGTACCGGCTTCTTAAACTGAAAAATTTGTAAATACTTGATATTCTATATCAGAATAGAACGTAAACATTGCTACTTTAATCAGGGCAGAAATACTTATGACATAGGTCATATTATAATTATCTATTACGGAGTTGAGTTGTTAGAACCGGCACTTATACGTAAGCCGAGTTATGAAAGTGGATGCAGCTGTAGATATTTGTAAAGGAAGAGGCTTTTTGCACTCGATTCTCTCGTGCAAGGTGTCATTATGAGACTGTCTGATGATATTTGAGGAAGCGTACTTACATACCTAATTAAGTTGGAAAGGGGAAAAGGGAAAGTAATGAGATCTGACAGGATCATTACTAGCAATATCATATATTACCACCAATATATAACAGGTCGATTTTCACGCGGTTTCCTCTGGAAACTATTGTGGTTAATTTTTGATGAATTTACCACGATGACCGACTCACATGAATTGATGGGCCGACTGACTTGCATTGCATTGCCTGCATTCGTCTTCATCTATAATTCCTTATTGGTGCCCCACTAGTGTATGCCGATATTGCAGGCGGGGTTACCATTACATTTTTATCCACTCAGTTGGGGATATCTGATAAATCAATTTTTCTGTGGCAGTTCGGTAAAAAAGCATGATTAAAATTTATTCAGTATTGGCAAATATCAGGTAAAAATAAAAAGAATTATATAGTAGTATACTTACACTAAAGACAGTGTCAGTGTGAAAGAAACATTCTAATGGTTGAGCCGTTACGTTAACTGACCTAGGCAGCATTCTAAACTTATATGACGAGTTTTTTTAATGGGTGATTGAATAGCGATTGTCTCCGTTATAGATGTATTCTGGCGGAACACCAGTAAGAGATGATAGGATGAAAACAGGTCGGTTGGTCTATCCTGACGAATTTATGAAGAATTAATCCAGGGGGAACCGCGTGGAGGTCAACCTAATCTTACTAATATCGTAAAATTGTAACTATGTCTATATATAGCAGATTTTTAAAAAAATAATATGTGAGGGGGCAATAGAAGCCAAAAGCAACTTTTAGAAACTTTGTCCATCCATTTGTATGTTTGTTTGGGCATAACGCAAAAAGTACTGCAACAAATTGGTTCGGATTTTACAGTTATGTTCCTAAAGGTTTAAGTTTAAATATATTTCATCTTGATAAACCATCTAAAAGTGGCCTATTTTATTGGTTTTCACAAACAGGGCCGTGCCTGGGTATATGGCCGCCTGCGTGCCAGTCTGTATGGCCGCCCCCAGGATAACATAAAAAAAAACTACTTTAATTTTTAATGTTTATTATTATACACAGGGCATCAAACCGGGAAAAAAATCAGTTTTTGGTTGTTTTAAACGATTTGGCCGCCTGCGTGCGGTGCACGCAATGAACGCCCGTCAGGCACGGCCCTGTTCACAAACAAAGTAGTAGATATATTACTAGTAATGGGTCTGTTTTCTCCTGTTACTAACAATCCCTTTCTGCCCCTATATAATGTGTCCAGACCTCCGTTGTGAAATAGTAGGCGAGTCGTAGTACGTAAGTGAGGTCCCGCGTTCGATTCTTGATGAAGCTTATACGAAATTAACTTTTCTGAGTTGGTTCAGATCAGGATGTTCTGGGTTATGCCCGTATATTCGTTGCCTGATTCCTCATAACACATGCTTTCCTAGCTTAAAAATGGAGCAATTGGTGTGATTATGTGGCACTTATATGTATTGTTTTGGGAAGTCCGATATGACAAATTTACTACTGAGTAACGTTATTCAATAAAAAGTTTTTATGTCACAAAGGTTTGGTAACAGCATGGTGTCGTAAGTTACGAAGTGTTCATGGATTGCTTACGGTAGTTGTCTATCGAAACACGGTCAAAATACGTTGTGTAAAAATCCCGTAGACTAATATTTGGTGGTGTAGCGGTTTAATACCGCCTTACCTTCCTACGATCGTGCGTTTGATTTCCACACGATACAAACATTTGTATTAATAAATGTATGTTTGTATTGGTTTGTGCTGGTATAATGCCGTGTGGTCCCGGCATAGAATGGGTTACCTCATCCTTTCTTGTGAGTGTCGCAAAAGGCGACTAAAGGAACGTAATGATCGAGGGAGGAGCAGTGTTGCTCTTTAAACTTCAAGCGTAACTACCAACTCGTTGGGGGAAAGGGATTGTTAATAATAGGGTCTAATTGACCCATTACTAGCAATACACCCAGTCAGGTTGACCTCCACGCGGGTCCCCCTGGAAACCATCGTGGTTAATTCTAGTGGAATTCGTCACGTTGGGCTAATTGACCTGTCTTTTCATCCTCACTGGTTACCATTCCATTATCACTTATTAAAAAAAACTACCAATCCGTCTGCCAAGCGTGGTGACTACTGGCAAAACTCCCAAATAGGGGGAAGCTTATGTTCAGCAGTGGACAGTTAACGGTTTGTTAAGTCTTAGTTGATCTATTTAGTCATCATCAGGTGACTTACAGTTCAAATTGATTGGCTGTTACATGATTAAATTGATGTAGAAAAATGGAAGGTATTTCTCAGTGGTGAACTAAGCCCGTTAGACGGCCGGGGTGGTAAAGTTGAATGAAGTCCTCAGTTTAAGAAATTAATGCAATTTTAAAAGCATTTTATTCAATTTACATTTATATATGTGTTTATTTTAATCAATATCTTGCAAGTGAAATTTAAATTCGACTTAATATAAATAGAGTATAGATATGGAAGAGGAAAATGTTTTAGTTATGTTTGTTATTCGCAGTTTGAGAGCCGAATGGGTATTTCTTTAATGGATGATAATGAATATGGTAACCTGATATAATGGTATATGCTGACGGAGGATTAGTGAGGGAAGATACAAAAGGATGAAATGGCAGGTCAACTAGCATATCGTGAACACATCTAGAATTCTGCACAATGGTTTCCAGATGGGGGCACGTGGAGGTACCTCTTAAAACATTTCTAAAGCCTAATGCGGTTGCCAACCTGCCTGACTAGCGTCTTACTTGCTTAACAAACTTACAAAACTCTCCATATGGGGCAGGTTTATGTTCAGCAATGGATATAAAATGATGAATGATGAAACTTTTATTATTGTTTTATGCAAGAAAGTAAAACACTTTTTAGTAGTAATTATTTATTGTTTGTTGATAAAAATAAAGATAATACATAAATAAGAAATATAAGTCTTGAACATTATCAAATTAAACTCTCATTCTATCTGAGAGAACTCTAACTATAGAACCAGATCCACCTATGTTATAGGCTTTCTCATGCCAAAGTAACAAATGTCCACTAGAGCCTTCAGATGGATATTCAAAACCTCTGTATATGTATTTCATAAGTATATCAATGTCATCCCTTGAAAGATTTCCAACTGCTTCTTCTATCTGAGCAGATTTGATAGCAAGTAGTACTTTTAGAGTTAATGCTAATGCACTATCCTGTAAACAAAGATAATGTTTTCATAACAATGATAAGTACATTTCAATTATATCCTGTTGTTTATAAAATATATTATATCTAAAATCTTGCATGAATATTATGTCTAGTTAGTTAAAGTATAATCTTATAGTTTCTTAAAGTGCATATTTACAAAATTTCTGCCCTCTGTGTTTGTTGTAAATTATTCAAGTCAGTGTTTAAGATCAAATGTTATTTGTGTAAATTTATAAGTTTTGTGATGTTAAAACTGATGGCATTAATTTATAATACAATTATGTTAATATTTGAGAAAATACCTTCACTTGTTGATTTGAAGATCCCAATGGAGCATTACTTAATACTAACTGAAGAGCTTCAGTACATCGTCCTGTACAATGGGGTTAAGGATATATATATTTTTTAAATGAATATGCAAATCTTTATTTTTCTGTTCTAATTTATTATAATTAGAATTAAAAAGAAAAGGCGACTTTAGGACAAGTTAAAAAAACATGATCTCATCCATCCTCAATCCTCATCCAACCCACATTCACAAAAGGAGAAATCACATAAAGGAAAAATTTGGTCAAATGGAATCAAAGTTTGTATACAGAAATAATGTTAATTCTTTTTGGTAATTGAATATTACAACTGGCTGTTTTTGTGTAAATTTACTTTAATTTTGTATATTTTAATTTGTTCACTCTGTATCTATAATATTATTTTACATTTATTTTTTATTTATAACAATGTCGAAGCTCTCATAAACCTATTTTAGCTATTGAACTGTTTTGTTTTTTTTCGTACTAAATTCGCAGTTTGAATGAAAATAACAAAAAATGTAATAGTTAATGTAGGTTTATAGGAGATTTTAGTTTTTTTTAATAGGGGGTTTAGTTTTTCGTAATATCTTATATCTTTGAAATAAAAATATTGTCCATCTATTCTGATGCATTACCATATATTTTTCAATCCCCTATTTTGTTACCTACATTTCTTTATAATTTAATATAACCATAAGTATATCTGATGTCGAATTTAACTAGATAGACAAATACTTCAATGGGTGTAGGCCATTCATACGAATCAATTTCGTGAGTCACAACTACGATAAATAACTGAATGGTAATATGATGTTGTATACTCAATTTATAAACTTATATTATTTTAAAAAATAATTTTGGATTATGATAATAAGAATTACAGATATATATTATAAAAGGATATTGATTAAGTAAAGATGAAACTTCGCTTTCGTCAGGACCGGTCGGTATAGATTGTTCAGCTTCTTCTTCCTTAAAGTTGTCTTCGTTATATTGATCAATATCTATTTTTCGGAATGCAGAACTTGATGTATTTTTAGCCATTTTTTATAGTTAAAATAATACAGGGAGTATGAACAAAATACTAAGTTTGAATAATATTAATCGTATAAACAACAAACAAAATACTTAAGGAAAAATATTAATTATATACAGTAAGTATAGGTAACAAAATGACAACCAGCCACACCACAGATTAAAGAGCAAAATTATACATAATCTATCACTGTCAAGTTCATAATGACACTTCACTAGTGTAACTAATTCGATCGATAATTTTGATGTCGATTTCAGGTTAACCCTTTAACTAAATCTCAATTGAAAAATAGAACTAAATAATGTAGCTCGTTTTTACATACGATTTAACTCTAATCTTGAATAGTAATAATGTATATTTAACTTTGTGCAAACACATGTCTGAAAGTACTTAGACGTATTTTTTAAGGATCCAGACCGCCGCTTAAAAATTAATTTAAATATGCCAATGGTTATAGAATTAATTAATTAAATCGATAGTAAAGATATAAAGATTTACGCAATTTATTAAATAATAAAAATTGTAATATTACAGTATAAGTAAAAGTACTAAAGAAATTTGCAAGCTTACAGCAGCGATCTGTAGCTTGCAAATTTTTTTACCTGCCGCTATTATCTTGAGTTAATTCGGTGAAGAACCAGGAATTACATAGAAAGAGTGATAAAATTGTCAATTCATAGCAGGCTAGTGTATAGAAAAGGTTATACGGTCGTATAACCCTACCAAATTCAGATACAACCTGCTTTGCATACTTTTTACATAAACTGTGTCGAATATATAATTTAGTAATCTAAAATTTGTCACTGATAAATAATTGACATATCAACCATTTTTTATATACTAACCTGCTATGAATTGAGAAAAATAGCAGCTGATGATGATGATCTTTCGCCATCTTTTTACTAATCATATTTGCATAAGAAGAAAGGAGGCAACCATATGATTTACAGTTTTTATTTTATCGTTCCTTCTATGTAATTCTTTGTTCTTAGGCTTTATCGTTTTGTCTAACTCACCATCGCTCTATAAGAGTGTAGTGAGATACCGGTAATCGAAGTAGACTAGTATAGTAGTACCGATAAGTTTTATAACTGTAGAACTAGAGAGACTGCCACACACACACACAGAAGAAAGCCATAAACTCCCTAAAGTTTGTTGCCACTCTATTAGTCTGAAGCCATCGCTTTGACAACTAATAAAATAATAATATACGTATATATTATGTGTCTCCCAGAATATACTGTAACCATGGCATGATTTTTGGCATGGCAAATTTTTTATACTATAGTAACTGTTATCTATTAAAAGAAATGGAAATATTGGTAATAATATATTTTTTAATGGATGTACATGTAATAATAACCTTGCCTAGCGAATAGTATACGCTGGCGGGGCACTAATGATGGATAATAGGTGAAAATAAAAAGGCAGGTCAGTTAGCCCATCGCGACGAATATACTTGAAATTCAGTATTGTACTGGTCACTAAATATTTCTTGAAAAATAAAGAATATTAATAAAAAACACACAACAAAAAGATTTCTTTAAATTTATCTTTAAATTTAAAATCTCAATTTGATAGATAATATGAAATAATTTTTTAATAGATTTAAGTATTTTTTTTATATAATTTTAGCTTATGATTGTCCAAAAAATAGTAAAACATATTGCGAAAATATCAAATAAAAATATTAAATGAGTTTAGAGAAATGGTGCCTCAGAATTAGTCTCATTGTCACATATATAGAAGTTCTGTAGTTGTGCCAGTCACACATAACAGCATTTTTGTATGAAGTGCACCAGACTTGGTTGTAGTATTGATAGCTATCAACAGAGCTAATTAAAAATAATATTAAGATTACATACGATATAATGAATACATTCCAACTGTATTTGCTGTAGTTTCATTGATAGTACCTCAATCAATAATAGTAGATTATATGGTAATTATCATAGTTTGTTTGCCATTATAAGTTGTATCCTAAGATTGTATTATTATCATCATGTCAACCGTTAATTATCTACTGTTGAGCATAGGCTTCTGCCTTATCTCCTCTTATTGGTGGGCTTTGTCAGTAGTTGTCACTCTTAGCAGGTAGGTTAGCAATCGCAGTTATGTTCTGGTGATATTTTATGAGGGGCGCTGCCTAAAATTTTTGGAGGCTGCATAAACATAGTCTCTCTAATTTGTGGACGTTGCTGTCCATCTCTCGATTATTAATTTCTTTTAGTAACTTTTTTTATGTCACAGAATGGCAAACAAGTTGACGACCCTCCTGATGGAAAGTGGTAACCATCGCCTATAGACATGAGCAGTACCATGGACATAACACAGTATAGTGTTTCGCCCATGATATGTCTCCCTCTGGTTCTTAGGGTATCCATAGGAAAGGTTTGACCTATTCTATATCGGGACTACACGGCTAGTCTAAGTTGTATCAAAATATTATTAATTCCAAATTGTAATGTAGGCTATTGTAATGACTTACATTGTAAATTACAATATAAGTCATTGTAGTGGTTTACATTTTAAGAATAAGGGATCTTTGGTTTATATCAATTATATCTTGATTTCTAATCCTAATGATTTTTATAGCACCACTAGTACCGAGTTGGCAACATTGTGATATGGTTGTCATGTCATTTGTATTGTAATAATTTGTTGGTTTACATAAAAAATTTTACAGATTTCGTTTGTACTTTTATTGTATTTTAAATTGAGTGTGTATCGTATTTTTCACTGTTTCGTGTCATTTGGGTGACTAAACTCATAGCACGATGACAATGGGTGATGAACTGCCTGTTACATCCTTGGTTTTGCCAGTTCTAATACGTCCTGTTTTGACACAGGTATGATTATCTATTTCAGATATATTAACTCAACATTCCAAATTAACTTTATTAAAATACTTTTTGAAAAATAACACCATAATTGATTAATATCGTGTGCAATGCCTTGGTACATTTTAAATGACATATTTTTGTTCCAGTTGGAAAAATATGACTTGGGAGCGTCGCAAACGTTGCGTGCAGCACTCACTAAAGCAGAAGCAGCAGTTCCAGGGCTTAACTATGATTTGGTGGCAGGAATCATGAGGAGAGCTGATATACCAGTTAATATGAATGAAAGTTTACTTCGACTTCAAGGAACTCTCACTGAAACTGAATGTAATATCTATTAGTTAATAATAAGTTTATTACAATCTTAAATTTCTATTAAATACTTGCATGAAACTTACAGGGTACAGAGGAATAACACCTGATTCCTCAGGAATGACAACACATGGGGGGTATCATGGGCAAAACAGTATACTCTGTTATGTCCATGGTACTGCTTATGTCTATAGGTGACGGTTACTACTTTCCATCAGGTGGGCCGTCAGCTTACATATTGGTAGAATTGGCAAGAGATTGGCTAGTTTACCCGAGCTTTCTGGTCTCTTGCCAAAGCTGCACAAGGGAATTTCTGGTGCGCAGGGAGGATAACTCATTGGGATCTCCTTGGATCTCTCTTTGCATCAAACTCGACATTGGATCAGCTTGTTTGCCATTCTAAGTTGTATAAAACAAATAGTACATTGGACTAAATAGGTTTAATATTTGATTTTAAGTAAGATATTTTTCACAGGTACCATTGTGAAGTATTAAATTCTACAATTTTAATAAGAGTACATATAAATGCATAATTTTTGTTTAGGTGTCTGAGAGATATATGTAGATTAATCTTGTATATAAATTCAGTTCTCTTTTAAAAAATACAAATTTTGCATTAACTGATGAGCTTTTTGCTAAGAACAATCTTAATTTGTATAATGCACAATTTAACTTATTTTTAAGTAAAAAGTATTATGTTGGAAGAGAAATTGTTTTTTCGAAACTACTGAATTAGATTTATATATTTTTAATAAAAATCATGCAATCAGGTCAATGTATTCAGTATATTTGAATGTTTGTGTTATAGAATTAGTTTGGTTAGATTTTTTTTACTGGATAAAAATGAAACGGTGACTGATGAGGCACCAGTGAGGGTACATAGGTGCTAACAAAGCAGGCCCATTGTGACAAATTTATCAATTATTAACCACCATGGTCACCTAGGAGTTTTACATGGAGGTGGACATGATAAATTATATTGCTATCAATGGCAGTTAGACCCCATTATTAACAATCTTTTTTTTTCCTTTAATGAGATTTAATAATTTATAATTTCAGGTGCAGATTTGAGATTGAATAGAAGCGAGGAAGCATTCCAAGAATTGAATAAGAAATCCACAGCATTGAAGAAAATTTTGAGCCGTATACCTGATGAAATTACTGACAGGAAAACCTTTCTTGAAACTATTAAGTAATGCTTTAAAAAATTTTTGTAATCATAATTGTTATTATATATATCATATTATAGTCATATTTAGTTGACATGTGCAAATATTATATCAGTCTTATTAATTTACATTTAATGATGACAAAGGAAGTTCCTAAAAGTAAGACATGAGACAAGCATTTAACAATCTTGCTATGTTTAATTATGATGGTATCCTAATATATAATTATATTAAAAAGATATAAAGAAAAAAAATGTCATCCCCTTTTTATTACAGTTACTGTTTTCATTACAGTAGTTTTATATTAATTTTTATTTAATAGCATATTTTTTATGTTGTAGCATATTGATTTTTATGATATTTTGTGTCACTTTTTTAATATGAATATTTATTTCAGGGAAATAGCATCAGCCATTAAGAAACTATTAGATGCTGTAAATGAAGTGTCAACATATACCCCAGGACCTGGAAAGCAAGTGCTTGAACAGAGAAAAAGGGAGTTTGTTAAGTATTCCAAGAGATTTTCTAATACATTAAAGGAATATTTTAAGGAGGGACAGTAAGTATAGATTTCATTCTGTATTATTCACTGTTTGTGTTTTGATGATAATGATTCTATGATATTATTTAAACCTAGCATTTTGTCTACTACTTCATACTTAAAAATTTTAGAAGTAGGTAAACCATTAAAATAGTTTACTTCTATATGGTGTATTGAGATGAAATCTATACCAGATTTTTAGCTAGACCTTCAGGAACACAACTGGGAAAACAATATCCAGTTTGGTGCATTAGTTATTATGGGATGCCCGAATAAACATATAGCCAGACAAACGAAATTTCTATAAAATATTGTTTCACATCTATTAGTCTCCTTAAGAGCCCTAATTTTAATTTTTCTTAAATACCTCTCAGGTACAGATATCGTCCATTTACAATTTGTATATTTTATTTAATATATGTTAAACATGTATTCAAACTTAATATTACTTTTAAGTTAAAAATTATCTTTTTATCTGAGATATTAAACTTATAGTGTCAGACTTTTTCAGCAGCGCATGACATATTATAGAATTTTTGACAACTTCAATTACATTTCTTATAATTAATTATTGAAAATATATATTTACCAAAGTAAAAAAAAAAAATATTCTATAGCACTCAGGGATAATATACCTTTCAAACAGTGAAAGAATTTTCAAAATCGTATCAGTAGTATTAGAGATTACCAACTTGACTAACTTTATCTCTTTGTAATATTGGTATAGATAAATGATATTAATTTTCAAAATTATTTAGAAGCTGCAGTTCTAAATGAGTTAAAATTTATTATTTAATCCAGATTGTTAAAGATAACATTTTTTTTTTCAGGGCCAATGCTGTGTTTGTTAGTGCACTATATTTGATTCATCAGACCAATCAAATCTTGTACACTGTTAAAAGCAAGTCTGAATAATCTGGCGAGTGATGTAAAATAATTATATATTTTTTTGTTGATCATATTACCTAATTGTTGCTAATGGTGTCTGTTGTTTCTACAATAAATTAATAATAATAGTTAAAATTACAATAATATTATTATTAAAAATTTTATTTTAGTAGATATAGTATATTTAATTTTCAGTATTTTACTGAAGTATATTGTTATTGGCGAATTATAACTAATTTTAATTATAAATGTAGTTAGCACCAAAAGTTTTTGAATACATCCAGATTGTCAAACACTGTAGGATACATAAGCCTACCAACAAAATTAGCGCCAATGGATCAATATGCTAAAAGATCAAAATTTCCTATATATATTTTTGTGTATGTACAAAGTCGTCGTTGTACATACGTACACGAGATTTGAAAATTGGGATGTGTGCTAATCCTAGAATTTGTATTACTTTGACTTTTGGTACCAACTTCTACTTATTTAATAAAAATACCGTATAATTAATTATCTTTGTTTTGAATTATAATTATGAAAAAAGACATATGAAAATAATGTATAAAGTAATTGTAAAAAGAATTATTGTTTAAAGAATTGTAATAAAAAGCTTCCAATAATAAGGCAATTTCAATAAAAATGGTCAATTGAAAAAAAAAAACATTTACATGATACATTAAAATAATATTACAAATATTGTAGTATATTATAAACTGTTGTAAAATAATCTACATATAGTTGTATAATTAGAAGGTATGTTTGTCTTATAAATTGTAGTGCATATATTTTGTTTTTAAATATAGTAATATACATTTTACATTAATATTATTTTTAATTTAAATCATCATGATTCTAATTTTACGTGATGGTTAACATGATTATAAAGTATGTAGATTGGCAATGTAAAAGAGAGAAAACATAATAACATACTTTAGAACGAGATAGACAGGTAGGACATTCACCTACAAAATATAAGCTCGAAGCCAACTTGGCGGGAGTAGGAACAAAGAAGTGTTAAGTAAATGTAGCAAGTTAGAATTAAGTGTGTCAATGTCTGGATATAACTTCAATTAGAAAAAAGAATTAAAAAATTGCACATTTCTCATGTCATTAAGGTTTAACATTTATCTCTTTAAATGCAATATTATAGAACAATCAGAAATTATATGCATCTACAAGAATTTGTAGAAAAAAAAATCTAATTTAATTTAAATAAAGCTCTTAACGCCTACGAATTGAAAATAAAATTGTAATAAATACGTGAATTTTTGCAATTTAAATTTCATATAAATTAAAATTTGACACATGCATACATTTACAAACATGCACACTAGTGTAACAATTATCTGGTCCTGTTTTTACATTACATTGCCACTGTCGGTATATAGCAAGTACGTTATATACGTCTATGGTTAAAATCATTCTAGAATTATACCATTACGATGGATCAAACCTTAGAACAAGAAATTACATAGAAGGAATGATAAAATAAAGACTGTAAATCATATGGTTGCCTCTTTTGTTCTTATGCAAATATAATTAGTAAAAAGAGGATGAAAGATACACAATCAGTTGCTACTTTTGTCAATTCATAGCAGGCTAGTGTATAGAAAATGTTTGATATGTCAATTATTTGTCAATGACAAATTTTACATTATTAGATTTTTTAAAGACATGTGAGAAGCAGTTTGTATCTGAATTTGGTAGGGTTTTTTTAATGGGTGATAATGGCATGGTAACCCCACCCGCGCTATCGGTATAAACAGGCGGGGCACCAGTGAAGGATGATAGATGAGGATGAAGCAAGTCAGTTAGCCCATCGTGACGAATTCAATAAGAATTGTTCACGATGGTTTCCAGGGGGAACCACGTAGAGGTCGACCTAATAGGGTATATTGCTAACAATAGGGGTGTCAATCTCCATTCCTAACAATCCCTTTCCCCCCAATTTGGTAGGGTTATACGACCGTATAACATTTTCTATACACTAGCCTGATATAAATTGTCAATTTTATGACTTCTATGTAATTCTTTGTTCTTAGGATAAAACATTCAATATATTTTGTTTGTTCAACTTTGTTCAACTCTATCAGCTCGACCTTAATGTGGTTGCCCTGGAAACCTTGGTTAATTTTTGTGGAGTTGTCACGATGTGCTAACTGACCTACTTTCAACTTTAAGTATCGTCTGTTACTGGTGCCCCAGCAGCGTATACCGTTAGTCTGGAATCTAATATCACCCACAAAAAAAGGTATCAGTGAGTAATGATAGAATAGATAGGTCAGGATAAAGTCGGGTTAGTTGGTTCATCGTGACGAATTCACTAGCGATTGATCACGATAGTATCACATAGAAAATCGCGCGTAATGCAAACCGCGTTATGTAAAGTAAATCCGCGAAGTATTTTTAATAGGGTGATAATAGAATGGGAATCCCGCCTGCGCTATCAGTATACGCTGGTGGGGTACCAGTGAGTGAGTGAGTCGTGATAGGTGAGAATGAAACCAGGTCAGTTAGCCCTTTGTGTTGTATTTAACGAGAATTAATTACGATGTCTTCCAGGGGTAACGCGTGAAGGTCGACCTAACAGGGATGAAAACAACAATAAATGATAGTTTCTTGAAGTTCAAAATTGATTGATTATATATATATATATATATATATATATATATATATATATATATATATATATATATATATATATATATATATATATATATATATACATTTTATTTACATTAGTAGAATTAAAAAATCAATGACGAATACATCACATACACTTAGGTATACCGGTTATGATTGAGAACACTACGCTCGAAGTTGTCGACGAGTATAAATACCTGGGACAACTTGTCTGACTCCAACTTGTAAGTCCAACTTCGACTGAGAGGTCAACCGGCGAACCCAATACGGTTGGGTAGCGTTTGTAAAACTACGCCACATTTTCCCATCCAAAATACCTGAGTTTGAAGACGAAGGTCTTTAAGCAGTGTGTGTTGCCAGTGATGACTTATGGAACCGAAACATGGTCCTACACGGTTGTATGTATATTAAAGTTTCGAAATGAGGATTTCTGCAAAAGAACCAAACCCACCGACATCGACATAGCATGAAGAACCGAAAACCGATGGGGAAGGAAGGTTCTTAAGTGGCGACACCGTACGTGCAAACGCAGTGTAGGACGACCGAGTGTACGACGTACGACGACTACATGGAGTGACGACCTCAAATACATTGCAGGGAGTCAGTGGATGCAGGTGGCTCAGGACCGTTCTTTGCGGTAATTTATGGGGAGGCCTATGTTTAGCTGTGGACGGATAATGACTGAGGTAATGATGAATTCGAACTAAAGTTACTCAGTTTCATGATTTCAATTATTGCTAAAAATATTTAGCAGTTAGCGAATATAAGCAGTATTTTTATTTAAAAAATACTTATATTTTTCTGTTATTAAATGCGTTACCTAGACAGATAACAGCTAAAATCATGATGATGATGATGATGCATAATAGCTATATCTAGCAACTCTGCCAACTCTGCCAATCAGTACATAAATTTTTCTATGTGCTAAGTTACGATATAACCTACCCGTGTATTTTAATTTCATTTAAAGCATATTATTTCATTTGTCCTTGACCTTGGGCAGTATGGGTATGTATCATTATTTAGAGTTATTTCGTCAAACAAAAGTGCTTAAATATTGATTACTGAAAACTGAATATAAATGAAAACTTTTCATAGTATAGGTACAAATAAGTACAATAAAAAAGTGTTATTCGTCAGTAAGTAGTTCATAGATACCATTGTAATATTCTTTATTTTTTATTGTACATAAAAAAATAATAGTATTAGAAATAAAATTTAACATAATAGCCGTTCTTTTTAAAAAGATTTATATTTTTACGTACATACATAATATTTTCATAATGTACATGCATAGCTCTTATACATCTTTTTTGCACTTTAAATACTCTATCCACATTTGTGGAATTACCTCAAAATGATCTGTATATATTAGTGTAGGTAGATGATACATATTCATTAGGCCGCGAGAACTGTTGACTCCGCAGTAGTTTTATACACCTAACGACAAACATGAGAATAGACATATTTGATCGATATATGATTTACAATTTAATTTACAATGAATATTCAGCCTCAAAAATTTGGTATCATTTATGGTAGACATTGAATTGCCTTTATAATTTATATTTAATGTCATCAATTTATTATGTCTTTTTTTTTTATTTATTATGTTAGTTTTGATAATATTAATTTTTAAATCGTCAATTGGCCATTGAAATATTTTATCTATTCATATCAATTGCATTTTTTGTCATGTTCATAATTCATTAAAATGTACTTTACAAATAAAACTACTGTTAATAGTAAACAGTGTCAGAGGATAATTTGTAACTCTAGGTGAATCATTTATCTAACATAGAAATAACAGAGGACCAAACACATTGTCCTGCACCTGCACACTACGTGAAACATTGCGTGACATTCATAATTTCTTTCATATTTATTCCTTGAGCAGATCATATTTTGCGTCATTTGCTTTCTTTTTTTAAATATGATTTAAGTAAATTATGTACATTACCTTTTATACCATATTTCCATAATTTATCTAACAGGACTTTATAATTTACGTAATCAACAAAATTGTTATGCAAATTTTCTAAAGTTTTACGGCACATGTTCCTCATCTGAGTACCAGCAGTAGACTGCCGTGAGATCGTGTACGTCCCGCGCAGACTCTTAAATTCTCCGATACGTACATATTATAAATATTATAAATTTTTCTATTCGCATTAATTTTTTTGGCCAAATTTAAAATTAAATGCATAAATTAAAGAAAAATGTTACAGTTAATATTTCGTGTTAATACACGAACAACAAAAACAGATTTTCAAAACTAATGTTTTGAAAATCTGTTTATATCGGTTTTGGCGGAATATAGAGTTTCAGAAAATGATAAATATTGTTTCTTTATTAAATTTATGTAGCTTATAAATCAAATAAATTAATTTCAAACACACAGATTGTAATTTAAGTATCGAATATTAATATATATTTTTATATACGTTTTGAAAATGACCTTTTAAGGTGTGTAGTACCTTAAATCTGTTCAGTAGATAGATAGATAGATACTCTTTATTGTTTCCTCCATGAGATTACAATAGTAAACTTATTATAATGATGGTGAAGAGTAGTAGCTTTTGCATGAAAGATTAACAAACATCCAACCATCCGTTGCAAACTTTGGCATTTAATAGGATCTAATAGCCACTGTTTAATTTTACATAACCACATGTTAACAAAATACTAGAATAATAATATAAAACTTGGTTCCATAAAAATTTGTAATTGACTTCATGTAATATAAAAAATGTTTCTCACCTAGCAACTGATGCCCGTGGGAATTTTTTTCACAATAGATATAGTTTTTGGCAGTTCCACTTGGATTGCTGGTCTCAGTGAAAGAGGTTGGTAAAATGATTTCGTGACCGCACTTAATGGGTCATGAAGCCTGCGTTGTGATTCGTCTCGTCGTGCGGTCGCGGACAATAGCTGGTCGTGTCTTTTGCCCTCGACGCGCCTCCGCCTTGCTTGCCCGTGACACTTGACACAGGAACCCATGCTCCACGACCTCCACATATTTCCGCGTACAACTTTTTTACCTCTGCCCCGTGGGCTGTCTACCTAAGGTTTTTGATAGACCGGGGTAAAAGCATCGTCATTAAATGGAATTTAAAAATTTAAGAATGCCTCAATGCTTTTAGAAAACGAAGCAGATAAAAGAGGCACAGAAAATAATCT